GGAGTAGGCTTCTTACCCGGGGGGCATGTAAAAGGGCAACAAGATGCCTTAAAATGGGGGCCCCTTTTTTTTTCACGGGTGCAAAGACCACCCGAAAACCCACCCTTTCAGTACCTCCACCCTTTCCCCAAACCGAAAGAATTTTGGGGAAAATTTTCAAAACAGGGCAAACTTTTTTTATACATCTTTTGTCAAAGGGGGGTAACCAAACCCTTTTCTTACCTTTAAAAATGCTAAAGAAATTTTGCTAAAACTCCGTTCCCCTTTACTGTGGGGCGTATGAATCTTCGCTTTTTGATATATTACCAAAATTTCCCTTCAATCGCAAAAGGGGGTACCCATTTTAAACGGGGGCATTCCCTATAAAAAAACCCCGGACCGCTCAAATGAAAAAAAAAAAAACCCCCTTTTTTTTAATTTAAAACAACCCACCAAAAAAGGGTTTTCACCGGTCCATTTATAAAAAAACATTTATAGAATAAATTTTGAGTTTTACTATTCCAAAAGGGGTAAAGAAAAGTTGTTTTTCCAAGCAAAAGAAAAAAAGCCTTTTTCCAATTGCCAATTACCTTCAATTCATTTTGGGGGGGAAATTTTTTAAAAAAATTTTTCCCCGTACAACCATAATGAAAGCTTCATTTTTTTAAATAAAAAAAAAATAGAAAAAAATTAATACCAAAGGGGGACGGGATTGACGATCAAAGAATGTTATTTTAGGCCGGAAGTTCAGTTCATTCGGACCAATTTTGAAATTGTCCATTTTTATTTTTGTGAAATTGGCCCCAAATTCCCAAAATTTTTCGACCACATTATTGGGTATTTAAAAATGGTAATGGGCAGTTTCTTGACCAACGATAAAAAAAGGGGTTTTCAAAAAAATTAGCATGATTTGGGGGCGACGGGAACAAGGGAAATTACTAAAATGGGGCCAAAGTTGGCAAACGCCGTTTTTTTAAACATGCGGTTTTTTAAATTTCGCAGAGCTAATTCCGTCATTTTTTCTATCAAATTTGTTTTTTTTGGTGTCATACTCAAAAAGTTTCTCCTTTCTAAAAAAAATTTTTTTTTTTTTTTTTAAATTTTGCGAAAACCGGGAACCCCCAGGTTGGGGTGGGGACAAAGGGGGTTAAGTATCGGGTTTTAAAAAATTATAATATATTTTTTATTTACTTTAACCCCTTCGGGGTCAAGGGCCAAAATCTGAAGGGGTGCTCCAGTGTCCAAGAATTTTAAAAAAAAAAAAAAAAAAAAAAAAATCTTAAAAGAAAAAGAAATTTTTTTGGAAAGGAAAAAGACAAAAAAACAAAAATTTCGACAGTACTTACCAGATACAGGGGTGGGAAGTTTTTTTTTTATTTTCTTTTTTAAAATTTTTTTTCTTTTTTTTTTTAAATTTTTTTTTTTTTCTAATAACATTTGGGGCCTGTGAGACCAGTATAATGTATTTGCATAAGGTAATCATTGTTCCACACAAAATGCAAAAAATTTTCATTAATTGCTTACAAAACTTGTTTACAATTTTTGTAAAAAAAATGATGAAAATATTAGTGCGGTTTTGTTTTTTAAATGGTACCTTTTAAGTTCAAGGGACAATGTGCCATAGGGGAAATTTTGTCCCATATGGTACAATGGCACCATAGTACAATGGTCCATAGGTACAATATGGCACGAACAAGGTTCCCTAACAATGGTACCCTTTGGACAATGGCCCATTTGGTACAAAAAACCATATGATACAATGGTTACCATGTGGTGCAATGGGACCCATGTACCATATGGTGTAAGGGACCCTTTTGGGACCCTATGGTGTTGGGACCATATGGGACATTGTCCAACATAAATGAACCCTTGGTACTGTTGTATTCAACCAAAAAACATAATATTTCATTATTTTTTTGTTATAATAGTTGTTTACAACAAAATATGCAAAAATTTTTATATTATAAGTTTTTTAATATTTACAATGTAAGGAACCTATTGTTCTTTAATTTGGGTGACAAAGGCCCCCTTTTCTCAAAAAGCAGATCAGTAGCTAGCTTTGTCACCACTTTTTCATCTTGGCTGTGTTAGCCACCAACACCATTGCCCTTTGGGACACGTTCTATTTTACGGGGACCATTGGCATTGATATATGGTACCTGCAGTACAGGGTAACATAGTGCAGGGTACCCTATGGGACAGGGACCAATGGTACAGGGTACCCAAAAGACAGCGTACCAAGGTACAGCTACCATACATAAAGGCACCATATGGTTTTAGATACAGGGATAACTATTCAAAAAAGTCACCCTGACTTTTTTTGGGTTTTCCTAAATTTTATAGTATGCCTTTGATGTAACTACGTAAGGTATTTCGTACACCTGAATAAACTTTTTCCCAAATGCATGTGGGGAAATTTAAATTTATTTTGTTTTTTTTCACAAATAAAGTTAAATAGAAAAACATACTTAGAGGTTTTTTGGGAACCAGGATAACCCAAAAAAGTAAACTTTTTTCCTTTGGGGGACCTGACCTTACCATATGGTTAATGTTCCCTTGGTATAATGACCATATGTACAATGTACTAATGGTGATTGTACCTATGATAAATTGTACCAAAACCATTGTATGACTGGGACCATTTTACCATTGGCCAAAGGACCATATGGTTCAAAAAAAAAGAATTCATCTTCGCTCCACTTCCACGTCTTTGAACTGTAAGTTTGAAAGGAATCAAATTCACCCGGGAAGGAGTGGGGATAGAGCTTCCTTGCCGCCACACAATGAACAAAACTCTTTTCGGTGTTCCCACAATTCCCATGCGGGGGTTTCCAGATTTTTTTTTATGGGTGTGACACTGACCACCCCAACCCCTTTTTCAGATGATGCCTACCACCCCCTCGTGCAAATTTTTCGCCCTAGAATTTTGCGTAGTCTCGGTTTGGACCCCGAATAAAGCCTAGATCTACGGGACGGACCCCCGAAAAAGGGGTTTAAATGTTAAAGAAGAGTTGTGATTTTTAGAGTCAAAATTTTACTTATTCCTGTGATATTGGAAAAAAAAGGGATCAGGCTTACTTATTGGAAAACAATTTTTTTATCATATGCCACTCATAAATTTATGCCTTGCCCCATTCCTTACATCTTTCTGAATCCTGGTCATTTATGTAAGGCGGGGGGGGGCTAGAATCATGGTCTGGCCGTGTGCTGCTAGGCCAATGTAATGGTACCTCGTACACTCAGCTTTGAATAATCCAATTGGAATACGTCCTTTAAGGGGAATTTTTTTCTTGGTATTGATCTTCGTTTGGAAAAGACTTGCTGTTAGAAAATTTTTTGGGGCAAAAAGATCACGAACCGCGCACTAAACCCCCTTTTTACCCCCTCCTCGGACAAAGCCCGACCGCCCAGTAGCGTCAGTACGCCCGTTGCTACCATTCAGTGAACAGCCCACGCTGTAACCCTGAATTTTCACGTGATTTTTTTTTTTTTGTATAAATTTTTAGTAAATTCATTAATTATGAGTTTTAAGAAAGTTAATGAGAAGAGCCAAGAATGAAGAAAATGGTAAGGGCTATGTCTATTGTGGAGGATATTGTCTTTCTGGGCAGGTCTATGGGTCTGGATGTGAGTGATGGTGATGTGGAGGAGTTAGTCAAGGGGCACAGGGAAGAGCTGAGCACTGAGGAGCTGCAGGAACATGAGGAGTACAAGAGTAAGATGGATGCACTCTCTTCAGGCTCATAAGATGAGATAGAGGAAGCCCCCTACTTCATCAATCAAGGAAATCTTTGCCAAATGGATGTATGTCAAAAACTTTGCAGAGAAGTACCACCCGAACAAAGCCCAAACAAGTCGTAATAGCATTGTCTGGAATGACCAGACAATGTCATTTCCGAAACATCTCGAGAAGGCAGAAGCAAAGTTCTTTGGACAGATTTTTAGTAAAAGTCAAACTTGGCAAGCTTCAACCAGGTCCAAACAGGGTAAAAGAGACAGAAAAGATAAGGGGACCCTCCTTCCAAACAAAAACATTTCCTCCTCCTCCCTTCTCAGCACTATTCTAGTGGGCACTCGACTCTTCGGCAAAGTAAACTGAGGTTAAATTTGTATTATTTCAACTAATTCTTTTGTATTTATGTAGGTATTTTAGTATTAAGCAGTGTTTAAATTATTTTATACAACCCCATCAATGTATAATATGCCAATAACAATAGGATTTTTTTTAATGGGAATGGATTAATCGTTTTCCCTATATTTCTTATGGGACATGTAGAGAGAATGGAGCGAAACAGAATGACTTCAAGAGTGTATCAGTCTGTAGTGGAAGGAAGGCGGGGTAGGGGTCGGCCTAGGAAGGGTTGGAGGGAGGGGGTAAAGGAGGTTTTGTGTGCGAGGGGCTTGGACTTCCAGCAGGCATGCGTGAGCGTGTTTGATAGGAGTGAATGGAGACAAATGGTTTTTAATACTTGACGTGCTGTTGGAGTGTGAGCAAAGTAACATTTATGAAGGGGTTCAGGGAAACCGGCAGGCTGGACTTGAGTCCTGGAGATGGGAAGTACAGTGCCTGCACTCTGAAGGAGGGGTGTTAATGTTGCAGTTTAAAAACTGTAGTGTAAAGCACCCTTCTGGCAAGACAGTGATGGAGTGAATGATGGTGAAAGTTTTTCTTTTTCGGGCCACCCTGCCTTGGTGGGAATCGGCCGGTGTGATAATAAAAAAAAATAAGTTCATTTGGTATATATCCTGTCTGGTATAAGTTCAAGGTCCTGGAATGGATTAAGGACATATACCGAGATACCACTGTAGTATGAGACCTGTGATGTTCCATTATAAAAGGTTGTATGAAAACTTGAATATCATTATATATTACTTAGGATATTGGCCTGCCTTATCATTATTACTGTATTAATAACAAGCACAAAGTTTATACAGATCATATAGCCCATGGGCTTTGAACTTCCCTGATCTTGGTTTAAATCCCACAAGTACTCTTGCAATGGAGTATTAAAAGAGATACATAGTCCATACCATTTGTTTATTTAATTTTATAAAAATATTTAAGAAGTTATGTTTCCCAGTTTTTAACAAATAAAATGTCTTAAGTTTAAATGATGGCACCAACTTTCTGAACAAGTAAATGACAACTTTCAGGTGAAAGATTATTATTTCAATATAACCCCCACATACTTTAAATAGAAAAGCATATGTCTATCACAAAAAATATAGCTCTCATATAATTAAGATGAGCAACATTCTATCACAACATCCTGTCAAGTAATAAAAGCAGCGGCAGCAGCTAACCTGTCGATCAGTGAGTGCATACACCAATGAAAAGAACATTTTATAGAATCAATCAAAATAGCCCTTGTACTTCTTCTTTTTCCAAGTCGAGGTCAATATCGTAGATGCAGGGCCGTGTAGGCAATCCTGGCATTGTAGTCATCTGGGGAATAGAATTTGAAAGTTATTACATATCAATTTTGAGAGGCACAGTCTCCTAGCACACTCACCTGTTATCTAACTTTTCACCTCCTCACCAAATTGTGGCAGTTTCATATAATATAAAAGTATTATAACTGCCAAGTACAGTACACTATATCAATCTCAGTGACAATGTATACTTTTAGTTATCCTATGATTAACTTTGATATAAATGTAAAACAATAAACATGAACTTAAAAACTTTTACCATATTAAAGTTAACTCCAAAGAAATATACATTTCATTAATTATGCTACATGGGAATTTATATTTAATATCCAATCTTGGGAAAGCATAAAAATGAGGTTTTATAGCTTAATAATGCAGGGACACTGGAGTTTAATGCAAACTGTGTATTTGGTACATTTCTTAATCTCAGAAAAATATAACAAAGCTAAACATAAAAAAAATTGTGAACTTAAGCAAGCTGTGAGCATAGAAAGCAATTATGGCTAGCTAATACAGGTAAATGACATACATGCCAGAATAAGCCAATAGTATCCTGAAGGATTATGAAACCTTGAAGTGCAAAAATGAATTCGGTGCTTACTTACCTGTACATCATCTTTCAACACACCAGCCATATCCCACTGAGGTAGGGTGGCCCAAAAAGAGAAACAAGCCTCTCTTTTTAACTTTAGTAATGTATACAGGAGAAGGGGTTGCTAGCCCCTTGCTCTCGGCATTTTAGTTGCCTCTTACAACGCATGGCTTACAGAGGAAGAATTCTGTTCCACTTCCCCATGGAGATAAAAGGAAATAAACAAGAACAAGAACTAGTAAGAAAATAGAAGAAAGCTCAGAGGGGTGTGTGTGTGTAAAATAAATAAATAAATATATAAATAAATAAATAAAATCGGACTTGAGTCCTGGAAATGGGAAGTACAATGCCTGCACTTTAAAGGAGGGGTTTGGGATATTGGCAGTTTGGAGGGATATGTTGTGTATCTTTATATGTGTATGCTTCTAGACTGTTGTATTCTGAGCACCTCTGCAAAAAAAGTTTATAATGTGCGAGTGTGGTGAAAGTGTTGAATGATGATGAAAGTATTTTCTTTTTGGGGATTTTCTTTCTTTGGGTCACCCTGCCTCGGTGGGAGACAGCCGACTTGTTGAGAAAAAAAAAAAAATTATAATATTATATTATATATATATATATATAATATATATATTAAATATATAATTTTATATAATATTTTTTTATATATATATATTTATATATTATATATATATATATATATATATATATAAAATTATATATATATCTTTTTTTTCTTTCAACAAGTCGGCCGTCTCCCACCCAGGCAGGGTGACCCCAAAAAAAAAAAGAAAATCCCCAAAAAGAAAATTTCTTTCATCATCATTCAAAAACTTTCACCACACTCGCACATTATCACTGTTTTTGCAGAGGTGCTCAGAATACAACAGTCTAGAAGCATACACCCTATAAAGATACACAAAATATCCCCCCAAACTGCCAATATCCCCAAACCCTCCCTTTTAAAATGCAGCCATTGTACTTCCCCCTTTCCAGGGCTCAAGTCCCACTATATGAAAATAACCGGTTTTCCCTGAATCCCTTCACTAAATATTACCTGCTCACACTCCAACAGATCGTCAGGTCCCAAGTACCATTCGTCTCCATTCACTCCTATCTAATACGCTCACGCCGCTTGCTGGAAGTCCAAGCCCCTTGCCCACAAAACCTCCTTTACCCCCTCTCTCCAACCCTTTCGAGCACGACCCCTACCCCGCCTTCCCTTCCCTATAGATTTATATGGTTTCATGTCATTCTACTTTTATCCATTCTCTCTAAATGACCAAACCAAACCCCAACAACCCCTCTTCTGCCCTTGACTAATACTTTTATTAACTCCACACCTTTTCCTAATTTCCACACTCCGAATTTTCTGCATAATTATTTACACCACAAAATTGCCCTTAAACAGGACATCTCCACTGCCTCCAACCGTCTCCTCGCTACTGCATTTACCACCCAAGCTTCACACCCATATAAGAGTGTTGGTACTACTATACTTCATACATTCCCTTCTTTGCCTCTATAGATAACGTTTTTTGACTCCACATATACCTCAACGCACCATCACACTTTTTTCCCTCATCAATTCTATTATTAACCTCATCCTTCATAAATTCCATCCGCCGACACGTCAACTCCCAAGTATCTGAAAACATTCACTTCTTCCATACTCCTCCTCCCCAATTTGATATCCAATTTTTCTTTATCTAAATCATTTGACACCCTCATCACCTTACTCTTTTCTATGTTCACTTTCAACTTTCTACCTTTACACACATTCCCAAACTCATCCACCTAACCTTTGCAATTTTTCTTTAGAATCTCCCATAAGCACAGTATCATCAGCAAAAAGTAACTGTCATAATTTTTTTTTTTTAAAATTCCCATTTTGAATTTGATTCCCCATAATTTAATCCCACCCCTCTCCCAAACACCCTAGCATTTACTTCCTTTACAACCCCATCTATAAATATATTAAACAACCATGGTGACATTACACATCCCTGTCTAAGACCTACTTTTACCGGAAGTAGTCTCCCTCTTCTACACACCCTAACCTGAGCCTCACTATCCTCATAAAAACTCTATACAGCATTTAATAACTTACCACCTATTCCATATACTTGCAACATCTGCCACATTGCTCCTCTATCCACTCTATCATATGCCTTTTCTAAAATCCATAAATGCAATAAAAACTTCCCTACCTTTATCTAAATACTGTTCACATATATGCTTCAATGTAAACACTTGATCTACACATCCCCTACCCACTCTGAAACCTCCTTGCTCATCCGCAACCCTACATTCTGTCTTACCTCTAATTCTTTCAATTATAACCCTACCGTACACTTTTCCTGGTATACTCAATAAGCTTATTCCTCTATAATTTTTACAGTCTCTTTTGTCCCCTTTTCCCCTTTCCCTTTATATAAAGGGATTTATACATCTCTCCGCCAATCCCTAGGTACCTTCCCCTCTTTCATACATTTTATTAAACAGAAGTACCAACCACTCCAACACTATATCCCCCCCTGCTTTTAACATTTCTGTCATGACCCCATCAGTTCCAGCTGCTTTACCCCCTTTCATTTACGTAATGCCTCCACACCTCCCCCACACTTACTTTGCTCTTTCTTCACTCCTAAAAGATGTATCCTCCCTGACCAGTGCATGAAATTACTGCCTTTTTCTTCCTTAACATTAAAAGTTCCTCAAAATATTCTCGCATCTACCCCAATACCTCCATCTCCCCTTTACTAACTCCCCTACTCTGTTTTTAACTGACAAATCCATTTTTTCCCCTAGGCTTTCTTAACTTGTTTAACTCACTCCAAAATTTTTTCTTATTTTCATTAAATTTCTTGACAGTGCCTCTCCCACCCTATCATCTGCTCTCCTTTTGCACTCTCTCACCACTCTCTTTACCTTTCTTTTACTCTCCATATACTCTGCTCTTCTTATAACACTTCTGCTTTGTAAAACCTTCATAAGCTACCTTTTTCTTTTTTTATCACACCCTTTTACTTCATTCATTCCACCAATCCTCCTCTTTCCCCCTGCCCCCCCACCCTCCTATAACCAAAAACTTCTGCCCCACATTCTAATACTGCATTTTTAAACTATTCCAACCCTCTTAAAACCCCCCCCACTACTCATCTTTGCACTAGCCCACCTTTCTGCCAATAGTCGCTTATATCTCACCCGAACTTCCTCCTCCCTTAGTTTATACACTTTTTACCTCCCTCCTTACTTGTTGTGCCACCTTCCTCTTTTCCCATCTACCTCTTACTCTAACTGTAGCTACAACTAAATAATGATCCGATATATCAGTTACCCCTCTATAAACATGTACATCCTGGAGCCTACCCATCAACCTTTTATCCACCAATAAAATAATCTAATAAACTACTTTCATTACGTTTCTACATCATACCTTGTATATTTATTTATCCTCTTTTTCAAAATATGTATTACTTATTACCAAATTTCTTTCTACACATAGCTCAATTAAAGGGCTCCCATTTTTCATTTACCCCTGGCACCCCAAATTTACCTACACTTTCCCCCCATAACATTTTTACCCACTTTAGCATTGAAATCCCCAACCACCATTACTCTCACACTTGATTCAAAACTCCCCACGCATTCACTCAACATTTCCCAAAGTCTCTCTCTCTCTCCCCTACGCTTCTCTCTTCTCCAGGTGCATACACGCTTATTTAAACCCACTTTTCACATCCAATCTTTATTTTACTCCACATAATCCCTTTAATTAATACATTTATAGTCCCTCTTTTCCTGCCATAGCTTATCCTTCAACATTATTGCTACTCCTTCTTTAGCTCTAACTCTATTTGAAACCCCTGACCTAATCCCATTTATTCCTCTCCACTGAAATCTCTCCCACACCCCTTCAGCTTTGTTTCACTTAAAGCCAGGACATCCAGCTTCTTCTCATTCATAACATCCACAATCATCTCTTTCTTATCATCTGCACAACATCCACGCACATTCAGACTTCCCACAAGCATATATATACACACCCCTCTGGGTTTTCTTCTATTTTCTTTCTAATTCTTGTTCTTGTTTATTTCCTCTTATCTCCATGGGGAAGTGGAACAAAATTCTTCCTCTGTAAGCCATGCGTGTCGTAAGAGGCGCATAAAATGCCCGGGGGCAAAAGGGGCTAGTAACCCCTTCTCCTGTATATATTACTAAATTTAAAAGGAGAAACTTTAGTTTTTTCTTTTGGGCCACCTCGCCTCGGTGGGATACGGCTGGTACGTTGAAAGAAGAAAGAATATACAGTGGACCCCCGCATAACGATTACCTCCAAATGCGACCAATTATGTAAGTGTATTTATGTAAGTGCGTTTGTACGTGTATGTTTGGGGGTCTGAAAGGAATAATCTACTTCACAATATTCCTTATGGGAATAAATTCGGTCAGTACTGGCACCTGAACATACTTATGGAGTGAAAAAATATCGTTAACCGGGGGTCCACTGTATATGCTTGTATATGCACGTGTAGTGACCTAAATGCAAGTAAAAGTAGCAAGACATACCTGAACCCTTGCATGTTTATGAGACAGAAAAAGAGACACCAGCAACCCTACCATTATGTAAAATAATTACAGGCTTTTGTTTTACACTCACTTGGCAAGATGGTAATACCTCCTTGGGCAGATACTGTCTATCAACCTACTACCTAGGTTACTTGTACATACATTGGTTGAAAATATGAATAAGCACCCCTCAACTATATTAAATGAACCTTTTATCCAATATTTTTTTATCTGCTCACTTGTGCATATGCAGAGACAAATACAGAAAAACAAAATTGATAATACTGCAAATGTTGTGTAAAGATAAACTGACAAAAATATAAACTAGATGAAGATGGTTAATAATGATGTTCTCCGATATTTTCACATGAAAAATACAGTTAACATTTTAACAGATAAAGACGATACTAAAATAGTTCGTTTTAATTCACAACTTCAAAACTGCTACCAAAAATATCTTAGTGAACTAGTACTTTGTAGGATTACCCTTCCTCTTGTTGCAATGAACCCTCCTAGGGACTGACAAAGCTAACTTATGAAGATAAAGTCAATACCCTTCTACACCTGCTTAATGGTTCTAGAGATTTTGGAGCTAAAGGATACATCCATGCTATGAAGCTTATGCTTAAGTTTCCAAACGTTCTCTATCAGAATTAAGTCCACTGAGTTTCCAGGAAAGTCGTTAAAAAAAAAAAAAATTCTTCATGTCTTTGGAAGTAATGCAAGGAGGTACCATACATTTTCCATACAAAAGTTGCCCTGGCATTTCTCAAATATGCCAGGCAAATAATCTTCTGAAGGTATACTTATGGGCATGCATATTTATAACACTTACTGTACATAAGAGATCCTTCCTATAAAGACAGACCAACACGGCTGAATTTGCACTCGTGAAAGGTGTAGAAAGCAGCAAGATATGATTAATGTATACAAGTGGATGACAGGTATAAATACAAAGAAGAGTGGAGCAGTTTGCCCTATACAAGTTAGACAAATACACAAGCAAGAAGGATTGGACCTGAGAAAAACTAATCTAGCATGAGCCAGTAGGCCTACTGCAGTGCTCCTCTTTTCTTGTTTTTAACAGATAAAATCATCCCAATTAGAAAATTCTTTGTTACTTTTTTACCATATGCATTAATAACTTGCATATGTTCATTTTATGCTTGTACAGAGCTCACAGTTATTTGGTAGAGATTGGTCAAGAACCACAAAATTAATATTTATGCTTCTTAGGCTGAATTAAAGATTATTTGCTCAGTAGCTTTTTACCAAGTGTATTAACACTTTGTGTATGTTCATTTTATGTACTATATATGTAAAGAGCTCACTGTTTGGTAGTTATTGCTCAAGAACAGTAGATTAAATATTTACACCATAAACCAGTTCAATGAGGAATGAGGCAATTTATATTGTACAACGCCTGTGTATTAAAAATATTTAGATATATTAGAAATCTGTAAACAAGAGAGATGGATCACATGATAATTTTTTCCATACTGTATTACCCAAATTCCACTGTCACACCACATGACTCCCTTAAGTGCAAGAATGGAAGCTTTTTCAACATGGTAAAACCCAATAAAATTATGTACAATATTATACAGGTAAAGTATTACAATACTTCACTGAGAAACTGAACTACTAAGCAGACTGTCAGAGAACTATTAAACTAAGGTTTCAACTAAAGAAATGACTAAACAAAAACAAATTAGATTTAGCAAAAGTAGGAGAATTTTAGGTTAATTTTCTTGGTAAGACGACATTAAATGCAGAGAAGTCTTTATTCACCCACAAGAAACCTCCATCAAGTACATACATGAAAAACATGAGAACAATACAGTGAACTTTCATAATTTATGAGGGTTATGTTCCTGAAAACTGTTACCAATGATTTATGCAACTTTTCAACTGAAAAAACAGGATAAATAGAGTTGCATTCTTCAAGTACTCCATTTTTAATGCCTGAGGGAAGATAGTTGTTGATTCAGTTTAAGAGCATTTCTTTCATAACATTATTGGTACAGAACTACAAGTTAATAAATTAGATATGTGCAACACCAAGATATCTATTTTGAAGAGGTTTCACCAACCAGTCCCTTTTTTTCAATTGAACACAGCTTATTCGCTGGAGACAGCATATTCCTTCCAAAGAAAGTGGGAAGAGAGAGCATAAAGGACCCTCAAAACCATCAGCACTCTTATTTTTTTGTATACATTTTTGTTTGAAATAGGGTTTACAGTAACCTCTTGTGGGGGGTTTCAACTAGGATTATACTGGGGAATGAAGCAAGTCTTCCCACATGCCTGTGATAATAATAAGCATACAGAATTGACAACGACATCAATGTTTGCATACAACATCGCAACTTCCATCGCTCACACCGTGGCATGGAAGTGAGCTACACTCTTATTACATGAAAATGACAAAGGCAGATGTCTGGAGTTATCAATTATCAAACTAACACCATTCATCAGAATAGTGGCTTGTTCACCTTGGCCACATCCATCACCCATATCCCAGAATAATACAAGCTTAAAGGCCAGTAGGCCTACGGTATCCTGGTCTTTCACCCAACCTCGGTTACCAAGTTCACTGTTCAAGCAGCACTGTTCACTGTTCTCTTTTCTATGCATTTATAAAGCTTCCCTCTGGGTGAAATATGCCAATAAAGGCTTTCTTGCAATTAGTGTCCTCTTAACATTTATCAGAATTTTACATCTTCTGTGCACACATTCATTTGAGAAAACATGCAAAATTATGGAAAATAGTAATAAAACATTTACCCATGTGGATAACCATTTGCTTCATAAAATTTGCTTGTTAGTGGATGTGTGGAAAGTGCTTCATTAATTGTATCACTAGTTATTTTATTATTGTGCCACTCTGAACACTATTTACCCTACATAAGCAGAAGTGTCATGCCTAACTGCAGTATGTGCCAAAATATAATCACTTATTAACATAACATTCAAAAAGTGCAGGTAATTAGCACTTATTGTCACTTCCATTAAAACTCACCTCACTTCTTGGACCTCACTTTGGCACAAGGCGTCGCAGCCAGTGCAAGCCACGAACCAGCGAGGGTGGACGTGGGACTTGCCCAGACTCCTTGTAAGAGGTAACACACATGCTTAAATCTTTCCAAATCTAATCTAGACAATGACTGCATAAAAAAATGCAATCCAGACCTCACTTCCATGCAAATCACTGTATATACTCTTGCTAGAAAATTGTACCTGAATACAGTTTTGAGAATTTAAAAAATGATTTGACTAATGCATTATGTTAAATTATCTGTTCACCTAATATTCCTAAAAATCAAATGACTTATTCTAAGAATCTGAAATAAATCAGATACTTATAGTGTCATTCTTAAGGCTACCATAAACATACAACAAAGTCTGTGCCTTTACCACAGAATTTTACTTCTGTTTACATTCTAACTTTGATCTTTGCTCAAGTCAGAGGGGGTCCCTGTACATTACCCATTACTCAACACTGTATACAAGTATATCAAGTCCTTAGAAGAATTATTAATGATTCCCTAACATTCCTGTATTAACCTGGATCTACCTAATTTGTGTTACTGTACAATTTTTCAATCTTTACTTTGTTTTCCCCTCTAGCAATCCATTCTTTCACTCTTGTGTTGCCAATGATCATTATCTACTGCTATAAACAACCTACTCTTATGAATTTTATTGATTGCAAATTAAAAGCTTTTATTTAATGCTGCTTATTTTTATATATCCAAAGAATGACTTTTCAATGCTAAATAATTTTGCATACTATAAAGCATATACAGTACATATTTGCTTCAAAACAGAAGAGAAGTATTGTACCTCTAAGATATTTCTACCACTTAACTTCCTTTGTAAAACATGCCTTTTAGTTTTTGGTTTACATTTAAGCAAATTTTTCTATTAAGATTTTCTTAAATTATCTGAAAACCATTTTTAATAGAAGTCTGTTCATATTTCACACATTACCACATAGCAAGAAGCTGAGGTATGTCATTTGTAGATTACAATTATTACACCCACTTCAATTTTAGTTTTTAGGGGATATGGATGAAAAAATGGAGCATTAGCAGCAACAATGGTTTAACTAAGAACCATAGAACATTTCACATAAAGCAATACAGATTAAGGCAATAGAAACAGAACACTACCAGAGTTTGCCCAGCTTACCATCCAGGAATAACTTAATAAACTTGTGTTATACTGTCTTACACTGAAAAACTTGTACATTTGAAATTAAGTCCGGGCAAACCTTCACTGACAAGGTTCCATATTCCGGCATGTAATCGTCTACATTAACATTGTACTGAACCTATCTAGGTGGTAATAAAACTACTTCATAAAGGAGAGCAATTAGTAACATTTTAGGATCATGCAGTGATGTGAACATTAAAAGGCTTGCATAACCTACATTACAGCAACCAATAAATGTTGCAAAAACAATGACAATTATAGCCTGATTATAACCACACAGAACTTCAAAATCATGCATCTCATACAGCAATATAAAGCAAGTTTTTCCCCTTACCGTTCCAACAAGAGGGTAGAGGAACCCAGCACCAACTGATGCTCGTACATCCCTAACTGGAATGGTGAAGCCTGTAGGTGCACCTTTCTTACTTGGGTCAGATGTTAATGACAAGTGAGTCTTTGCCATACATATGGGAAGGTCATTGAAACCCTGAAATGCATTACACACATTTAATTGAAATTTTAACTCAAAATAAATTAAGTTACCATGTATAGTAAGACAATATTGATTTTAGTATATTCTTATCCAGTTAAGATACTGTACCACTGCTTCATGTATTGCAATACATAATTTTTATTATTAACACGATGGCTGTTTCCCACCAAGATAGGGTGGCTTGAAAAAAAAACTTTCACCATCATTCACTCCATCAGTGTCTTGCCAGAAGCATGATTACACTACAGTTATAAAACTGCAAACATAACACCTCTCCTTCAGAGTGCAGGCACTGCACTTCCCATCTCCACGACTCAAGTCCGGCCTGCCGGTTTCCCTGAATCCCTCCATAAATGTTACCTTGCTAACACTCCAACAGCACGTCAAGTCCTAAAAACTATTTGTCTCCATTCACTCCTATCTAACACGCTCACACATGGTTGCTCGAAGTCCAAGCCCCTTGCATACAAAACCTCCTTTACCCTCTCCCTCCAACCTTTCCTAGGCCGACGTCTACCCCACCTTCCCTCCACTACAGATTTACACACTCTCAAAGTCATTCTATTTTGTTCCTCTCTACATGTCTGAACCATCTCAACAACCCCCCCCTCAGCCCTCTCAATAACAGTTTTGGCAATCCCGTACCTCCTCCTAATTTCCAAACTACAAATTCTCTGCATTACTTTCATATCACACATTGCCCTCAGACACAACATCTCCACTGCCTCCAGCCTTCTTGTTGCAACATGCACCACCCATGCTTCGCACCCACGTAAGTGTGTTGGTATAACTATACTCCCATACATGCCCCTCTTTGCTTCCATGGACAAAATTCTTTGTCTTCACAGACTCCAAAGTGCACCACTCGCCTTTATTCCCTCGTCAATTCTATGATTCACCTCATCTTTCATAGACCCACCTGCTGACATGTCCACTCCTAAATACAGTGGAACCTCTACCTGCGAGTGTGTCCACGTGCGAGTTTTTCCAAATACTATGAGCAATCGATGGGTCGATTTTTTGCTTCCATACGTGAGCAAAATTTCCACAAGCGAGCAGACCTCAAGGCAGGTTCCTTGACACTGGTGAGGGGCTCTTGCTCTTGATCTCGAGAATTGTATCTCATTTGTTTGTTGGACTATCTTATTGAAACTTGGGCAATGTATGATGGAAAGATGCTTCTTAACATACACCAAAAATGAAAGAAATCTAAGCATAAATAATGGAGTTCACTTTTCAGCAATTAGCCACTCCTTAGCGGTAATTTCGAATGGTTTTTATGGTTGTATTCTTGTTTGTTTGGTCTCATTTGATAGAATGGAAGATATATTACAGGAAGGCGGGGTAGGGGTCGGCCTAGGAAAGGTTGGAGGGAGGGGGTAAAGGAGGTTTTGTGTGCGAGGGGCTTGGACTTCCAGCAGGCATGCGTGAGCATGTTTGATAGGAGTGAATGGAGACAAATGGTTTTTAATACTTGACGTGCTGTTGGAGTGTGAGCAAAGTAACATTTATGAAGGGGTTCAGGGAAACCGGCAGGCTGGACTTGAGTCCTGGAGATGGGAAGTACAGTGCCTGCACTCTGAAGGAGGGGTGTTAATGTTGCAGTTTAAAAACTGTAGTGTAAAGCACCCTTCTGGCAAGACAGTGATGGAGTGAATGATGGTGAAAGTTTTTCTTTTTCGGGCCAAACTGCCTTGGTGGGAATCGGCCAGTGTGATAAAAAAAAAAAATAATTACAGAAATAGATATGATTTTAATTGCTTTCACAATGAAAAGTACCTTGAAATAGAGCTCAACCTAGGAGATATGGTCCATTGCTTGGCTATTTCAGTCTTGAATGGGTTGACATTATTTATACAATTATTGCAATAAGGAATAACAGTAAATCTTATATTTGTGTGAATAAAAATTACAAAGTATTTATATAATAATAATAATAATATGTTATTATTTTTTTATTATCACACTGGCCGATTCCCACCAAGGCAGGGAGGCCCGAAAAAGAAAAACTTTCACCATCATTCACTCCATCACTGTCTTGCCAGAAGGGTGCTTTACACTACAGTTTTTAAACTGCAACATTAACACCCCTCCTTCAGAGTGCAGGCACTGTACTTCCCATCTCCAGGACTCAAGTCCGGCCTGCCGGTTTCCCTGAACCCCTTCATAAATGTTACTTTGCTCACACTCCAACAGCACGTCAAGTATTAAAAACCATTTGTCTCCATTCACTCCTATCAAACACGCTCACGCACGCCTGCTGGAAGTCCAAGCCCCTCGCACACAAAACCTCCTTTACCCCTTCCCTCCAACCTTTCCTAGGCCGACCCCTACCCCGCCTTCCTTCCACTACAGACTGATACACTCTTGAAGTTTTTCTGTTTCGCTCCATTCTCTCCACATGTCCGAACCACCTCAACAACCCTTCCTCAGCCCTCTGGACAACAGTTTTGGTAATCCCGCACCTCCTCCTAACTTCCAAACTACGAATTCTCTGCATTATATTCACACCACACATTGCTCTCAGACATGACATCTCCACTGCCTCCAGCCTTCTCCTCGCTGCAACATTCATCACCCACGCTTCACACCCATATAAGAGCGTTGGTAAAACTATACTCTCATACATTCCCCTCTTTGCCTCCAAGGACAAAGTTCTTTGTCTCCAGAGACTCCTAAGTGCACCACTCACCCATTTCCCCTCATCAATTCTATGATTCACCTCATCTTTCATAGACCCATCCGCTGACACGTCCACTCCCAAATATCTGAATACATTCACCTCCTCCATACTCTCTCCCTCCAATCTGATATCCAATATTTCATCACCTAATCTTTTTATCCTCATAACCTTACTCTTTCCTGTATTCACTTTCAATTTTCTTCTTTTGCACACCCTACCAAATTCATCCACCAATCTCTGCAACTTCTCTTCAGAATCTCCCAAGAGCAGTGTCATCAGCAAAGAGCAACTGTGACAACTCCCACTTTATGTGTGATTCTTTATCTTTTAACTCCACACCTCTTGCCAAGACCCTCGCATTTACTTCTCTTACAACCCCATCTATAAATATATTAAACAACCACAGTGACATCACACATCCTTGTCTAAGGCCTATTTTTACTGGGAAATAATTTCCCTCTTTCCTACATACTCTAACTTGAGCCTCACTATCCTCGTAAAAACTCTTCACTGCTTTCAGTAACCTACCTCCTACACCATACACTTGCAACATCTGCCACATTGCCACCCTATCCACCCTGTCATACGCCTTTTCCAAATCCATAAATGCCACAAAAACCTCTTTAGCCTTATCTAAATACTGTTCACTTATATGTTTCACTGTAATATGTATAATATGTATAATAATAATACGTATAATAATAATAGTATAATAATATAAACAATAATAATATGTAAAGTAATAATACATATATAATAATAATGTACTACATATAACAATTACAATAGACGGCTTCAAAAAGGCCGTCACTAGATGGCAGTGTTTACCACAACAAAGAGGGAGCAGTTATGGCTGTGTCCACCTGTTACATAATGCCATTTTATTCATTCTAGAGTATATATCATGTTTCTATGTTATTTTTATTGTTTGTTGTGTCATATTAGATGAACTGTGATATATAAATAAGCCGTATAGATGATATTAGCGAAATTATTCATGAAGTATTTTGCCCAGTCTCCAGACAAACTCTCGTCCACCGCCGACAATGCCCATACCACTACATGAATGACATTTTATTCATTCTAGAGTATATATCATGTTTCTATGTTATTCATATTGTTTGTTATGTCGTATTAGATAAACTGTGATAAGTAAATAAGCCGTATAGATGATATTAGCTAAATTATTCATGAAGTATTTTGCCCGGTCTCCAGAAACTCGTCCACCGCCGACACCGCCCATACCACCACATGAATGATACATTTTATTCATTTTAGAGTATACATGTATATCAGGTTTGTATGTTATTTATATTGTTTATTATGTCATATTAGATGAAGTGAGATAGATAAATAAGCCATAGAGTTGATATTAGCGAAATTATTGAAGTACAGAATTCCACTGGAACGGATTAATTGCATTTCAATTAATTTAAATGAGGAAAATTGACTGCAAACGAGCAAATCCAGTTGCGAGCAAGGTCATGGAATGGATTAAACTCGCAAGTAGAGGTTCTACTGTATCTGAATACATTCACCTCCTCCATACTCTCCCCCTCCAATCTGATATCCAATCTTTCATTACCTAATTTTTTTGTTATCCTCATCACCTAACTCTTTCCTATATTCATAATATATGTATATTTTCCCAAGCTATTATAGTTTATCAGGGTCATGCCTCAAGGCTAGTGTATGGAGGACCAACACCACCACTATTGTTGAAAAATGACATTATTTGCCAACTTATGTTAAAACTCTCAATGCAAAACTCTCAACATACACCAAAGCACATTTTCCCCTACAATTAGCATAAAGGTTCTAGGAAGACATAAGTGAACCAAGAGTTCAAATGACATATGATAGTCTATGTGCAGAGCTCATGTCCCCACTTCTTTTCTGTTCACCTTACACACACTTCATTATTTTGTTATTCCTCTACTGATACTAACAAAAAGAATGAACACGTGTATACAGTGATTGTCATTAAAGTAAGCTGGCCCCCTCTAAAATCACAATCACCAAATAGGTCATCCTTTGTGCTTTACAACATCCTTCAACCATCTAGGAAGTGATTAAAACATTCTTCAGGATTTCATGGGGTAAATTCCCTCAACTCACGGATGGCTCTCTAAAACCGTTGGTGTGGGCTGATATCCTTCCCTATTAGACCTCTATCTCAGCCCCTAAGTTCTGAATGGGGTTCAAGTCTGGGGAGTTTCCTCACCAGCTACAGAAGAGTACCTCACAGTCACAAAGACAATGAGCAACAGATTTCATGGTGTGGCAAGGAGCAGAATGATCACACACATCACTGACTTCTATTTCTTATGCTTGATGCCCTGTCTTATGTAATCCAATGATCTCTGCATTTGCCTCATCTCAACAACTTTCTCCTGCCCATATCAATTTGTCAATAGCCAAAAATGTCAGTTGGCCCTCAAGACCACATGGAGAAGAGGGACCACGAACACAAAACTGTCCATAACAAAAGCCCAAAGGCACTTAAGATGCAGACAGTAGCCCGAGGGAATCCTGATTCGAGTTTGACAGGCCGCTATAATGTTTTGTTTCACTGACAAATGTGCCAGGGAAGGGTATTATTTGGGCATTAAATTACATCAAGTGCTTCCACTCGGCGTACTTTAATGACAAGCTCTGTAGTGGTTAACATGTGGAAAACTATGCCATAACTTTTAAATTAAAAAGAAACAGCAGCAACAATGAATACTACAAAGTTTATGGTCACAGTGTGGGGGAGGGGATGAAGATAAGATAGCGACTGATATAACTATCCAAATTGTAAACAAACTCCTCCTTAATGCAATTTTCATTTTTTCTAAATTTTGTACTAGCCATTACAGTATTATTATTAGTGATGCTTTAACCCTTTGAGGGTTTTCGTCGTACTAGTACGTCTTACGTGTAGGGGTTTTTGACGTACTAGTACTCATAAATTCTAGCGGCCTCAAATCTAGTGGGAGAAAGCTGGTAGGCCTTCATATGAAAGAATGGGTCTATGTGGTCAGTGTGCACAGTCTAAAAAAAATCCTGCAGCACACAGTGCATAATGAGAAAAAAAAAACTTTTACCATTTTTTTTGAATAAATCAGCGACTTTGCAGTGTATTTTCGTATGGTATTTATTGTTGTATTCTAGTTTTCTTGGTCTCATTTATAGAATGGAATACATATTACAGAAATTGAGATGATTTTGACTGGTTTTACAAAGAAAGGTGCCTTGAAATTGAGCTCAAAGTAGCAGAAATGTTCGATTTTTACCAAACTTCAAAAGTAAACAAATCGTGCCAAGCGTGCAATACACGTCAACTGGTGAGTCTAATATTCTTTCACAAGTGCACCAATATATTTTAACCATTTTTTACACTAATGCAGTAGTCTGCATAACAGTAAATCTTATATTTTTTGTGAAAATAAAAATTCAAAGTGGAAAGCAAAAGAATATAAGAGGGGCCTTGAGACATGACTAATGACTAGAGGAAATGTCATTTTAGTGCCAGGAATGTCTTTCTTGTTTATTCTGGACCCTATTCGGAAATTGGCATCTTTTGAAATTTGTGTGAAATTGGCAAAATTGCTGAATTCTGACCACTGTACTGGATAGTAGAATTTCATAAATGAGTGGTTTCTTGCACCCATTCGATAGAAAAAATGGAGTTCTATCGAAATATTCATGTTTTTTGTCGACTAGTACAGTGAAATTGGCCGAAAATGGGGCTCAAAGTGGGCAAAATCGCCGATGCGTAAACATCGCCGAGACCGCTAACTTTGCGAGAGCATAATTCCGTAAGTTTTCTATCAAATTTCAAACTTTTGGTGTCTTTATGATCGGGAAAAGATTCTCTATCTTTTCATAAGAGAAAATAATTTTTTTTTTTTTTTAAATTTGGCCGACCCTGAGAACGAGTTTCGGAGAGGGCCTGTCGACCCTCAAAGGGTTAAATATATAAACTCAATAATTATTTTATACCTCAGGTTCTCTTATTAACACCTAAAGAAACCAGTAGAAGCAGTTGGAAAGAGAAAATAAAATCTCAAATAATTTAAGACTTTTAGCTGGAGAACACTGACCAAACTGAGCCACTGTTAACTGACCTGTTTTCTGAAACGATTAATCTGCTCTTGTGCCTCAGGCTTGATCTCTATATCATCAGCACCATATATCTTTTGGGCAATAATACGAATCTTCTCCTCGATGGGTAAAGTCAGGCGATACAAGAACCTAAAAAATAATGACTATTAGAGGATCCATTCAACCAAGACAGTAAACTAGCAGACAGTTATCAAAAATGTTAACTTTTATGAATTTGTTTTATAAAACCAGATCCTGTTACAAAATATAATAGTATCTTTTTAAGTATAAATCATTGCAAGTTACTCAAATTACCCATCACTTTTAATACATGCTGCTGTCAACTGTACCTTGACAGCAGTATGTATTAACCCGTAAACGGTCCAAGCAGATCTACGTTCATATGTGTAGTGCTACAAAAGTAGATCTAAGTTTTTTTTACATATTTTCAAATATAACAAAAAAAAAAGTAGATTAAATTTTTTTTACACATTTTCAAATGTAGAAAAACAAAAAGAAGATCTACTTTTTTTACATACTTTCAAATGTTGAAAAAAACGTATATATACGTTTGGACCATTTACGGGTTAAAGAACATTAGGTAATAAATAAAAACTAGAAAATGGCTTTTCTAGCATAGTGAAAGAAAAGGCACAAACAGCTAAGGCTATGGTGGTCTAATTTATTATATGGCTGCTGTAAGACTTCTATGTAAAGTATTACTTTCCTATTAAAAATGTACAGGTCTCCCTCAACATTCGCGAGGGTTAGGGGATCAAGAGCCTCTCGAATGTTGAAAAACCGTAAATGTTTGGTGCCCCAATATACTGTAGGGAAATATAATACAATGCTGCTTCCTTAACTTGTTGAACCATGAACAATCATAAAATACATGAAAACGTCGTAAATTGTACTAAATATATACATGTTATGCTTTAATAACATGCATGTTATTAAATACCACAGACTCCACCACTGCCTCCACCACTTCCTCAACCACTGCGAGTCCCTACTACCCTCCCTCCGACCCCCACAACTGGCAGCCAGCCCTCCCACCACTCAGTGTGGTGAGTGTTTTGTTTGTTCATTATTTGCTATTAAACTACAGTATAAATAATGTAAACCCATTCATGACTGCATATTGGAATGGCTATTCGGGCAGGTATTAGACGGTGACATCATGTGTTTACTCTTGAACACAGCAAAGAATCAAACATTTCTGCTACTGTTAATAATAACCATAGTAATAATAATAACAATAATAATAATAATAATAATAATAATAATACGATATAATTGAAGAAGGAAATTGTACAAAAATATGAGGGAGTGGTTGACACATCGTCAGTGTGGCTTTGTTTATGCTGGAGTGAGCATTAGTCTCCCTGCTCTTCCAAACCATTTCACAATAATTCAGCGGTTGAGGCAGTGGTATTTATAACATATATGTTATAAATAATAATAGTACATATTATTAATAACATGTATGTTATTAAATACCACTGCCTCAATTGCTTCCTCAACCGCTGCCTCAACCGCTGCCTCTACCGCTGCCTCTACCACTGCCTCTACCGCTGCCTCTACCGCTGCCTCTACCGCTGCCTCTACCGCTGCCTCAACCGCTGCCTCAACCGCTGCCTCAACCGCTGCCTCAACCGCTGCCTCAACCGCTGCCTCTACCGCTGCCTCTACGCTGCCTCTACCGCTGCCTCTACCGCTGCCTCTACCGCTGCTCTACGCTGCTCTACCGCTGCCTCTACCGCTGCCTCTACCGCTGCCTCTACCGCTGCCTCTACCGCTGCCTCTACCGCTGCCTCTACCGCTGCCTCTACCGCTGCCTCTACCGCTGCCTCTACCGCTGCCTCTACCACTCCAGTCGCACTCAATCTACAAGCACCAAACACGATGAATTATTGTGAAATGTTTGGAAGAGCAGGGAGACTAATGCTCACTCCAGCATAAACAAAGCCACAATGACGATGTGTCAACCACTCCTCGTTTTTTTGTACAACTTCTTCTTCAATTATTCGTATTTATTATTATATTATTATTATTATTATTATTATTATTGTTACTATTGTTATTATTAGCAGTAGCAGAAATGTTTGATTCTTTGCTGTGTTCAAGAGTAAACACATGATGTCACCGTCTAATACCTGTCCGAATAGCCATTCCAATATGCAGTCATGAATGGGTTTACATTATTTATACTGTAGTTTAATAGCAAATAATGAACAAACAAAACACTCACCACACTGAGTGGTGGGAGGGCTGGCTGCCAGTTGCGGGGGTCGGAGGGAGGGTAGTAGGGACTCGCAGGTGGCGGGAAACTTGAATATGATTTGGCGGCTGGGACTTTGGTGGCTGGGAATTTGGCGGTTGGGAATTCGCGAATATGTGAAGCCCGCGAAAGCTGAAAACATGAATGTTGAGGGAGACCTGTATATACAAAAGGATGAGATCCTCAGTGATGCCTCTCTGACAATCAAGATAATGAAAGGGAAATATATTACATCTATAGCCTACAATGTTTAAGAAACTCAAGACATTAACTGGAAAAAAAATTCAAGACAAACCATGCTCTAAAACATATCTCTTTACCTAAATTAGGAACAAGTTTATTAAGAGTATACTGGCTATTTTAAATTTGCAACCAATGTAATATATACCTGTGTAAAATGAAATAAGTCATGAAAACTAGTTTACAAGAACTGCAATTATGTGAATTTTGGCATCTAAGTTTATACAGAAATAATTCTAAAAGGACAAACTCACTTGAATCAATTGCTCTAATTTAAAAATGCAGTTAATTTTGAAAATAAAAGATCTCACTTGAAATCAGAAGGCTTGTCTGAAGCCGCAACAACAGCTTCAGCCAGCTGGACAGCTCCAGCTCCTCCCTTGGCCCAGTGGTTGCAAATGACTGCATCAACAGCACCAGCATCAACAGACAGCTTCTTTACAAGATTTAATTCTGCTTCTGTGTCAGTCCTGTAAAGAAATTTAAATCTTAGAAAGCAATATTTTCTACAAGGGAAGCAAACAAAACTGCAACTAAAAGGAATTTACCAGAGAACAACTTCATGAACGAATGTATGTTATGCCTCAATATTATTGTTCCAATTCACTATTCTATAATTAGCAATGCAAGGAGAGTTAATATACTCACAGAAATGAGTTTATAGCCACCACAACTGGAATACCAAATATTCCGCCATTCTCTATTTGCTTCTTCAAATTACTAAAGCCTCCTTCAACGAGACCTAAGTTCTCCTGGGAAAGAAAAAGCCATGTACACAACTGATGGCAGTGAAGCTAAATAAATAAAAAAAAAAGTAAATATTTTCCTCCTGGCAATAGATAAAGTTCTAAGTGATCTAATAAAGTTCCAAGATCAGAGCTAAACAAGGTCCTGTATTTTTTTTTTTTTTTAACAAGTCGGCCATGTCCCACCGAGGCAGGGTGACCCAAAAAGAAAATACTTTCATCATCATTCAACACTTTCACCTCACTCACACATAATAACTGTTTTTGCAGAGGTACTCAGAATACAACAGTTTAGAAGTATATACGTATAGATACACAACATACCCTTTCAAACTGCCAATATCCCAAACCCCTCCTTTAAAGTGCAGGCACTGTACTTCCCATTTCCAGGACTCAAGTCCAGCTATATAAAATAACCGGTTTCCCTGAATCCCTTCACTAAATATTACCCTGCTCACACTCCAACAGCTTGTCAGGTCCCAAATACCATTCATCTCCATTCACTCCTATCTAACATGCTCATGCACGCTTCCTGGAAGTCCAAGCCCCTCGACCACAAAGCCTCCTTTACCCCCTCCTTCCAACCTTTTCGAGGACGACCCCTACCCCACCTTCCTTCCCCTACAGATTTATACGCTCTCCATGTCATTCTACTTTGATCCATTCTCCCTGAATGACCAAACCACCTCAACAACCCCTCTTCAGCCCTCTGACTAATACTTTTATTAACTCCACACCTTCTCCTAATTTCCACACTCCGAATTTTCTGCATAATATTCACACCACACATTGCCCTTAGACAGGACATCACTGCCTCCAACTGCCTCCTCGCTGCAGCATTTACAACCCAAGCTTCATACCCATACAAGTGTTGGTACTACTATACTTTCATACATTCCCTTCTTTGCCTCCATAGATAACGTTTTCTTGTCTCCACATATACCTCAACGCGCCACTCGCCTTTTTTCCTTCATCAATTCTATGATTAACCTCATCCTTCATAAATCCATCCGCTGACATGTCAACTCCCAAATATCTGAAAACATTCACTTCTTCCATACTCCTCCTCCCCAATTTGATATCCAATTTTTCTTTAACCAAATCATTTGATACCTTCATCACCTTACTCTTTTCTATGTTCACTTTCAACTTTCTACCTTCACACACACTCTTAAACTCGTCTACTAACCTTTGCAATTTTTCTTTAGAATCTCCCATAAGCACAGTATCATCAGCAAAAAGTAACTGTCAATTCCCATTTTGTATTTGATTCCCCATAATTTAATCCCACCCCTCTCCCAAACACCCTAGCATTTACTTCTTTTACAACCCCATCTATAAATATATTAAACATGGTGACATTACACATCCCTGTCTAAGACCTACTTTTACTGGGAAGTAGTCTCCCTCTCTTCTACACACCCTAACCTGAGCCTCACTATCCTCATAAAAACTCTTTACAGCATTTAGTAACTTACCACCTATTCCATATACTTGTAACATCTGCCACATTGCTCCCCTATCCACTATCATATGCCTTTTCTAAATCCATAAATGCAATAAAAACATCCGTGCCTTTATCTAAATACTGTTCACATATATGCTTCATGATCTACACATCCCCTACCCACTCTGAAACCTCCTTGCTCATCCACAATCCTACATTCTGTCTTACCTCTAATTCTTTCAATAATAACCCTACCGTACACTTTTCCTGGTATACTCGGCAAACTTATTCCTCCATAATTTTTACAATCTCTTTTGTCCCCCTTCATTTTATATAGAGACTATACATGCTCTCTGCCAATCCCTAGGTACCTGTATATGGGAATAAAATTAAGGGAGCAGTAGTTAAGCAAGTTTCTTATATTTAGGCACATGTAGCCTGCCATCCCACCTAGCACAACATTTAATGTTATTATTGACAGCCTGATCAACCAGACTTTTGCTCTGGACCTCCAGCAACAACACCCTGGTTGACCAGGCAAGCACCAGACGAGCCTGACCCATGGTTGGGCTACAAGAGTAGTAAGACTCATCAAAGGTATGTCAAAGGTAAAGGTCCCACAGGCCCACTTTTTTTTTTTTTTAACACATCACCATTTCCCACCAAGGCAGGGCTACCCGAAAAAGAAGAAACACTTTCATCATCACTCCCTCCATCACTGTCTTGCTAAAGGCATGCCAATACTACAGTTCAAAAACTGCAACATATCCCTACTCATCCTTCAGATTGCAGGCAATGTACTTTCCACCTCTGGTACTCATGTCTGACTAACCAGTTTCCCTGAATCCCCTCATAAATGTAACTTTGCTCACACTCCAACAGTGTGTCAAGCCATAAAAGCCATTTGCCTCCACTTGCACCTACCTAATATGCACACGCATGGTTGCTCACAAAACCTTATTTACTCCTTCCCTCCAACCTTTCCCAGGATGACCCTGACCCAACTTTCCTTCCACTACCAATTTACACGCTCTCCAAGTCATTCTACATGTTTTGTTCCATCTTCTCTAAATGCCCGAACCACCTTAATAACCCCCTTTCACCCCTCCCGATAATACTTTTAGTAACCCATATGATCTAAAGAGAACAGGTAAACTCTCAACATAACTTCAAGAGCAATTATCCAAAGCTTTGTCTAGTCATTTGTCAAATTGACTGGGCCAAGAGCTAGAGCTCACCACAAACTAATTGCCCCAAGTGTGCTGCTGATTACAGCCTAGTAATTACCTAGCCTACTTGGTTGTTTTGCATCTACTTTTGAAGCCATACAGGGTCTCCATCACTATTTTAACTGAGTTTATCGAATCTGTTCATTTGCATCACACGGAAAACTTACTTCTAATCTTTATGGTTTATCTGTGTGTTAAGCTTCAGTTTTTGCCCCTTGTTCTGATCTTCTACCTTGGTCATAACCCAGTTGTGTATAGAACATTGTGATCATGGAGCTCCTGGACTATGTGCACTAGAATAAATAAGTTCACTTCCTTAGATATATTTGCAGAACTGAGCTTCAGCTCTAGGACCCAACCTCTTAACTGCTGAATGATTGTTGCAATTCTTCCTAACCCTACAAGTTTTATGCATGGATGAAATGAGTGAGCACGAGTGATCAAGTAGGAATACTTACACTAGTGTACTCAGCTGGAAGAGGAACTCCTGGTGTGACAGCAGGGCCTCCACCATGCATCTTGAGAGCACGAACTGTTGCTACCAGGACCACTACATTTGGTACCAAACCAGAATACCGGCACTTAATATTGAAGAACTTTTCCATTCCTATGTCAGCACCAAATCCAGCTTCTGTCACCACAAAGCCATTCTCACCAACCAACTGTGTGTATATCAAAGTTAGCAATATTAGCAAAGACTTCAGTAAACAGTAGTATACATTTTAGTAAGTTAGAAAAAATTACTTTAATAATCCTACTGCAACAAAATCCATCAAACCACATAAATTACCAAAAAATCAGACATTTCATTTTTCTTTTTTAGATTTACAGTGTATAATACCAAAATTTCTGCACACCAAATTTTTTTGTTAGTCTTTTTAATTGTGTTGCAACAAAGTTGCATTTTGTGAAGTCATTTCATATGACCTGACTGACAGTATGGTCCACTGGCAAGGCAAAAATACTTATGGTAAAGGGACACATAACTTATTGTTAATTTCCTTCACATTCTTAGCACATGCAAATGATACACAAGAAAAAATACCCCCCACACACACAAGCACACCCACACACACTTGTATAAATACCTTTAAAGCAATTTTATCGGCCAGAATTGAGGAATTTCCATGAGCAATGTTGGCAAATGGTCCAGCATGTACAAATACTGGTGTGCCCTCCAAGGTCTGCATGAGGTTAGGCCGAATAGCATCCTTCATGAGCACTGTCAGTGCACCACTTGCACCCTAAAAAGTTTAATGTTCATAGAAATAAAATTATTCACATACATATTGTATATTAAAATACACAGAATAGAATTAAAGATCTTATTAAATTATTTCCCAAAATGCTATGTAGAATGAGCAATTTGATTTAACATTGAATTTTTAGTTAAGGGGCCTTAAAAGAGAAAAAATCATAAAGCCAGGATTAAGGATGAAAAGTGTGTTTGGGGTTAGGTAATTTATTGTATACATTAGGTACTTGCCTAATGGATATGATAAATGAACATGTAACCTTGTGGTACAGACCTAGCAACTGGAGCAAGCGGCAAGGGTTTAACTACAAAAGTATTTTGGGAAAATATTAAGTGAACATGCTTTCCTAGTTTTTTATGAAAAGTAGGTGACTAAAAAATGTAAAATAAAATATTTATGATAAGAGATACTAGTTCTCCATGGGAAAGCAGAACAGAATTCTTTCTCCATAAGCCATGCATGTCGTAAGAGACTACTAGAATGCCAGAAGCAAGGGGCTAGTAACCTTTTCTCCTGTATAAATTACTAAATTTAAAAAGAGACTTTCGTTTTTCTTTTTGGGCCACCCTGCCTCGGTGGTATACAGCCAGTTTGTTGAAAGAAGAGAAGGAGATACTAGTACAGAAAAAGTGACATTTAATTATATGTCTCCTCCCTGATCTCATGCAGTTTTGCTTCATTTTATAATTAACTATGGAGGTTAGCTATTAAAGTAGTATTATATTAAAACAAACTCAGATTACAGCACTACTTAAGTGTAATTAAGACAGTAGTCTATTATAAACTAATTACCAGGTCCTCAGCGGTAACAGGATTGCCAGATGTGTCCGAGGCAACAACCATGTTCCCCAACCTTTCCCTCATGTCTTCCAGGGAAGTCGTTAGAGCCAATATGGCCATAATTTCACTTGCTACTGTTATGTCAAACTGGCATTCTCTGGTATGGCCCTTCTCTGTAGGGCTCTGGCCAATGGTTATCTTCCGTAGAAATCTATCATTCGTGTCCATAACTGTAGACAAATCCATTACAGAGTTTTAGTTTACATTAGCCAAATGTTTTCTGAGGCTGACAAATTAATTACCTTTCAAATAGAGTAATCAAATTTTTGAAGGTCTAAAATATGAATAAAAGATTAACTCATTAAAGTCATTAACTAACCTGCAAATTACCAATATAAAAAACTAACCTCTCTGCCAAGAGATGGTTGATGGATCAATGTTTAAACGAACAAACTTGCTAATCTCTTCATCAGTTAGTTTGTTAGGATCGGTTTCTAAAATGCCCAGTTTCTTTAAGCGGTTGATCTAGGGTGGAAAAAACTTTAATGAATAACGCTATAGTCAATGAAATTGTTCTAAACTTTTCCCAATGTCTGGCTACATCTAATACTGTACATATTGCAATAAAAGTGCATCTAAAAGCAGTTCACAAAACAATACATGGGATACTGACATTGGGATACTTATGCTACTACTAAACTTCATGATCCTGAATTGGCTAACACTATTTTAGTTTCATCTCCAATTGTTGGTTAGTTGTGATTTTTTCTATTTACATCACTAACATATCTGTCTAATACAGTTACCACCAACTTTCTAACCACAAAAGTTAGTGGTATTTTCTTTTTTACCATGACAGCAGTCTTTCTCTATGGTTTGGTGACTCAAAAGCAGAAACATTAACCATTAATCATTTATTCAAAGATGGAATGACATTTCAGTAAGTGCCCAAGTGGCCAGGAAGCTGCTACAACTCTTAAAAAAAAAAAAAAAAAAAAAAAAAAAAAAAAAAAAAATTCTTCCTGGTTAGATTTTTTTTAAATATTTATTTTGCTCCCTCATGACTGATTAACAAACCTGTATCTTTGAGAACTGACGAATACCCTTAACTTCTGGAACCAATCTGCTGTATAAGGCTTGGTCACTTTGGGTAGATTCATGGAACATTCTAGCATCAATTTGTGCAGCCAAGAGGTTGTTTGCAGCTGTGATGGCATGGATGTCCCCAGTAAGATGAAGATTAAACTCATCCATTGGAATGACCTGTGAATATCCTCCTCCTGCTGCACCACCTGTAAACACCCAACATATGTACTCTGAACAAATTGATATTTCTGAATCAAATAAGAGTACTGTATGCAAATTGCACTTATATATAGAAATTGACAGTTACAAGAACATTATTAAATGTGAGCATGCACATATAAATTCCTAAGCCACTGCAAGTTACCTGTAACAAGTCCCCTTGTCTACACAAGTATCCTTTACTAACAAAACCTCTGAGGTCAGCCAATCAAACTTTTGCATGGCTAACTTTGACATTAAGGAGTTTTCAATTATACTAGGAGAAAGAAAGTGTTATCTGTGTTTCAAGCAAACTAATACAAGTCATCGTGGATTTGTTAATTAATTTGACCCTAACTTTTATTTCAGAATTTAAGTCCTACTTAGTAACATTGGAGTGTTTAGGGTTAATTAATGAAGAAGAATGGTTAGGTGAAGTTCAACTGCTCAGGGTTGAGTAATGAAGAACTGTGCTATAAAGCAAATATGCTCAGCACACATTTTGGTTTCACTACAACATTTACCCAGATAGTGTTAGAGCCTTCTGTTAATACAATATGAATTTTCCACAAAAATTTGCAGTAATATCATCTTGGTGTTAAAACATTTAAAACTAAGCTTAGTTCAATTGATCAATTTTAACAGAGTTGATAAAAAAGCAGAGATTAGAATAGTAGTCATGTACTGTATCACATTTAACAGACCAGGTCTCTAGACCTGGTAGAATTACTCTCAGGTACAGTCATTCACAATAAAAATAATAAAATAGTACAATGTTATTAACAGATTAATGCTAAAGTGATAACTTATAATTAAAAGTGGTAGTTAAACACAAGTAGCTACTGTATATAAGATCTCCAGAGGTACTGTGCATAAACTAATCAGAAATGACAAATACTATATACAGTAGGGCCCTGCTTTATGGAGTTTTGCTTTATGGCGTTCCACTAATACGGTCATTTCAAATTATGACCAAAACACACTATACGGCTCCCCCCACCTGACTCTAATATGGTCACCGCGCCCCACCCGGTTTGTTTACATTCTCTGTGAGCTCCGGAAGCACTACATCTCTCCATTTTGTCTGGAAACTCCAAAATTTTAAGGTTTTTTAAAGGTTATTTCATATTTTATATGAAATAGTGGACCCCCAGTTAACGATATTTTTTCACTCCAGAAGTATGTTCAGGTGCCAGTACTGACCGAATTTGTTCCCATAAGGAATATTGTGAAGTAGATTAGTCCATTTCAGACCTCCAAACATACACGTACAAACGCACTTACATAAATACACTTACATAATTGGTCGCTTTCGGAGGTGATCGTTATGCGGGGGTCCACTGTATATATATTTTTTTCAACAAGTCGGCCATCTCCCACCTGTACCTGTATACCTGTACCTAAATAAACTTACACACTGTGCTGGCATGCAGGTACACATTAAAATCAGTAAGTGTCTCTTATGTCTCGAGATGCCATATTAGTAATGATAATAATAATGTACTCAATAATAATCATCGAGTCTCATTAAATGTCATATATTACGTTAATATACACATTTTCATTAATCCATCTATGACATTTCTTCAAGATTATATAACAAACACAATACATAACATATAAAGATGATACACTCCACAGTAGAATAAACAAACAAATATGAGATGTGGTACCCAGACAACTTGTACGATTGATGGCAAGAATAGTTTTCTCTAGTTCAACGTAAGAAAATGTGTTACTGGGCATAACTGTAGAAAATTATTCCTTTTGTATGCATTCATTCAGACTGTCATTTCTTCTAAAAATGGTGTTACATGAGAATGGGAGTGTTCCTCTTTATTTATTCTATTGTATCAACGTAGATACAACTTGTACACAATGTAACTTATACAAATACCAGACGTGTTCGCCTGGTTTGTTTACAAAATTCACGTCCGCTCGGTTTGCTTACACATCTCCGCAAGTGTCCTCTCTCATGTACTCATTCTCTCTCATTCATTTGTTTTATCTCATTTACTCACCTCTGACCCTACATTAAGACTACAAATATTTTAAGTAATGAGTGAGCTGTATATGCATTTTATCGCTTTGGGACGCTTAAATGTCATAGAATATTGTGTGTGGGTGGGTTGGCCTGGTATGGTAGCCTGGCTGACAACCATACATACCACACTTGATTTCTTACAATAAATACAACTCATCTCACCCTAGATGAAGACTATAAATATTTTAAGGTGAGTAATGAGTGTACTATATGTGTATTTTACTTTTTTATTGTTTTTTTAATGCCCTAGTTCTATTGCTAACTTAATATATGTTAGTGTCAACTTGTTATCTAGTATTTATATGCATTTATAAGTGGAAAAAAGGGAGTTCCACTTTACGGCGATTTCCACTTTGTGGCGGTAGCCTGGAAACTAACCTGCCATATAAGTGGGGCCCTACTGTATATAAAAGCTAAACAAAAGTTTAGAGATAAAAACTATTTACAAACCTTTAATGCCAAATGTAGGTCCTTGTGATGGTTGTCTGACACAGGCAAATACATTGTTCTTCAAGTGGGCCCCAAGTGCTTGAACCAAACCAATAGTGGTTGTACTCTTTCCTTCCCCCAGTGGAGTTGGGGTCATTCTACAATACAAATGAAAATTTTAAAGCCATTATATTGAATGAAAGATTTTTATTGTGTACCAACATTTGCCAAGTTCAATAACTACACAATAACTGACAAATCTCTGAAGAAAACTTACCCAGCCACAACAACATATTTTCCATCTTTCTGATAAGAAAGGCGCTGTAAAACTGCCAGGGACACTTTGGCTTTCTTTTTGCCATAGAGATCTACTTCTGAATTTAGTAAGCCTATTTCCTCGGCAAGTTCTGCAACATCCTTCGGCGTCTGAGCACGAGCTACCTCAATGTCACTGAAAAATTATAGGTAGATCTAAGAAGTCAAATTTATTATTATATCCTGTATATCAAATAACACACAAAACACTGTAAATCCAAGGAAAATTTGAGCCTGAATGAGAAGTGTATCCATGAGCAAGGACAAACTATGCAGGCAGTCAATGGTTCTGGGAACAAGGAAAACAGACAGGTCTTGGACAGGGACACTGGCCCATACTGGACAAACGTCTAAATCAGAAGACTACCAGATATTATCAACACTATCCAGAATCTAGGGACTTTCTTTATTTCCCCCAATGATTTCAATATTTGTTCAGCCAAATTTTTTTTTTTTGTAGTTTCTAAAATCCATTAAATGGGGGTCCATTAATTAGAAGTTTAACTGTATATGAAATTATAGATTAATAAAAATTAACCTAACCAAACCTAACTGAAAATAAGTATTATAACTTCCATGAAATCTCAAGATTGAAGAAACGCACAAATGGCAATTCATCAATTCATGATTAACTATGTGCCAAACACAGAATGTTGCATTCTCGAATCAGTCACAATATCTAGATAATCAACAGAGTACTGTATAGTTTTACATTTTGCCACATAAAACTTTAAAAACTAGAATCTGACACTAACCTTGGGACTTTGTCAAGAACGTCCAGTGGTAAATAACTGATATTCCATTTTGATGCCCGCATCTGGGTAGCTGCATTCTGAGCTGATATCACAGTGTTTTGCATCAGCATAGCTACAGTCATGGGCCCCACACCTCCAGGCACTGGAGTGATCACTGAAGCTACCTAGGATTAACAGGAAATAAGAACCGTGAGGTTATGTCAGTAATACAAGCATTGTATAAATCTATTAGGTATTACGAGAACATTTCCCTAAAAATTATAAAGTGTGTTTATGCTATTTCATTATTGTACTACATACATTTTGTGAATAAAGGTTCTGTATTATTTACAAATTATTATTTCAACTTGCTGGCTGTCTCCCATCGAGGTAGGGGTGACCCAAAAAAGAAAAGCACTTTCACCATCATTCACACATAATCAGTGTCTTTGCAGAGGTGCACATATACAACAGTTCAGATGTTACTCCAAAAAGTAAATATCCCAAACCTCTCCTTTAAAGTGCAGGCATTACTTCCCACCTCCAGGATTCACGTCCAGCTAACCGGTTTCCCTCAATCCAACAACTCATCAAGTCCCAAAAATCATTTGTCTCCATTCACTCCTAACACACACACACACACACACACACACACACACACACACACACACACACACACACACACACACACACACACACACACACACACACACACACACACACACACACACACACACACACACACACACACACACAACACACACACACACACACACACACACACACACACACACACACACACACACACACACACACACACACACACACACACACACACACACACACACACACACACACACACACACACACACACACACACACACACACACACACACACACACACACACACACACACACACACACACACACACACCTGCTTTATGTCCAAATCCCTTGCACACAACTTTTTACCCTTTCCCTCCATCCTTTCCTATCACCATTATTTTATTTATAAAAAATACTAAACCCATGTGGGTCATTCAGCACTCTCTCTACAAAATTTTGTTTGAAGCAATAGGTTAAAACAACTAACTGCAGGAACAAAAGACACACTTGCCTTTGAAGCTTCTTCATAAGCCACATCTCCAACCAGTCGAGATCCAGACTTCTTTGTTTCATCTGAAAGAAAATATTTTGTATATACAGTATACAAAGAATTTTTAAACATACTGAAAATGTTCCACAACAGCCGGGTGACCCTAAGACCAAAATGCTGTCATTACTCTCTTTCCAGAAGTGCACTAACATGAACCACTTTACAGCAAACATCCCCACCAGGTCAGTGGCCATGACTAGGCCAGGGTTCATCAGTGTGGCCATGACCAGGTCAGGTCTCACTAGTGTGGCTATGACCAGGTCAGAGCCCACCAGTAAGGTTACAACCAGGTCAGGGCCTACCAGTGTTGTCACAACCAGGTCAGAGCCCGCTAGTGTGATCACAACTAGGTCAAGGCCCACCAATGTGGTCACAACCAGGTCAGGGCCTACCAGTGTGGTCACGATCATGTCAGGGCCCACCAGTGTGGTCACGACCATGTCAAGGCCTACTGGTGTGGTCACAACCATGTCAAGGCCCACCGGTGTGGTCACAACCATGTCAGGGCCCATCAGTATGGTCACAACCATGTCAGGGCCCACCAGTGCAGCCACGACCAAGTCAGGGCCCACTAGTGGTCACGACCATGTCAGGGTCCACCAGTGTGGTCACGGCCATGTCAGAGCCCATCAGTGGTCACAACCAGGTCAGGGCCCACCAGTGTGGCTGCGACCATGTCAGGGCCCACCTATGTGGTTACGAGCAATATTCTTAATTATCTGTAATGTTTAATATAAATAATACAGTATACACTGTTGATAAATTAGACACATGTGCAACTCTTGGGTATCTTTATCGAGGAAACGTTTCGCCACACAGTGGCTTCATCAGTCCATACGTAGGAGAAACTTGAACTTATGGACTGAACACATCGACTCAAGGTTGAGGGACTGATTACCTCATTCTCCTCCTGTTCAAGTTTCTCCTACGTATGGACTGATGAAGCCACTGTGTGGCGAAACGTTTCCTCAATAAAGATACCCAAGAGTTGCACATGTGTCTAATTTATCAACATGTCAGTTCTCTGAACCATTTATCTACAAAGTATACACTGTTCTTCAACATGCCTACCAGAACTTCTCTATGCACCTTTAAGTCAACAGTTAATATAACAGAAACCAGATTAATTCCGAAGATCAAACAGATTAATGAGCTGTCTCACTTGTTAAATTCCTAGTACAGTGGACCCCCGCTTAACGATCACCTCCCAATGCGACCAATTATGTAAGTGTATTTATGTAAGTGGGTTTGTACGTGTATGTTTGGGGGTCTGAAATGGACTAATCTACTTCACAATATTCCTTATGGGAACAAATTCGGTCAGTACTGGCACCTGAACATACTTCTGGAATGAAAAAATATCGTTAACCGGGGGTCCACTGTAATGTGTAAAAAAAAAAAATTCTGAAGCTTAAGCCCTTAAAAAATCTACCACTAATTGTAAAAGGAATAAAATGAAAACCTTAGCAAGTTAAATATCATTCCATCAGTAGATGTATTCCCTGGAATGCAGGCGAGAGATACATGATACTATACACTTGGAAAATCCTCAAGGGATTAGTACCAAACTTGCACACGAAAATCACTATGAAAGTAAAAGACTCAGTAGGAGATGCAACATTCCCCCAATGAAAAGCAGGGGTGCCACAAGTACACAGACAACACAATAAGTGTCAGGGACCCAAGACTGTTCAACTGCCTCCTAGCATACAGAAGGGGGATTATCAATAGACCCCTGGTTGTCTTCAAGAAAGCACTGGACAGGCACCTAAAGTCAGTACCTGACCAGCCAGGCTTTGGTTTGTACATCAGTTTGTGTGGCCAGCAGTAACAGCCTGGTTGATCAGACCCTGATCCACCATGAGGCCAGGTCTCAGACCGGGCCGCAGAGGCATTGACCCCTGAAACCCTCTCCAAGTATACTACAAAAATATAATTACAGTACTCTTTTTTCAACAAACCGGCCATGTCCCACCGAAGCAGGGCGGCACAAAAAGAAAAACAAAGGTTTATCTTTTTAACTTTAGTAATGTATACAGGAGAAGGGGTTACTAGCTCCTTGTTCTTACAGTACTCTTATTTTATATATTTTTTAAGCAACCTTCATTCATTACACAAAATTTAAACGCTAAACATACCTGGTATAGAATTAATTCCACAATCAATCACCACAGCCCCAGGCTTTATCCAAGACTGTTTCACAAATTCTGGTCTTCCAATTCCCACCACCAAGATGTCAGCAGTCTTTGTCTGAAGAATTATGCTAAATTAGAGAAAAATTCACACTTCATACTTTTGCACATGATTATGCTCATGTAATTATAAATAAAAACGTTATACTACACCTTTCTAATAAAACTGTTTTTATATCAGTGTATATGGTCAGATTTTGTAACCAACCTTGCTATTTTAATTTTAGTACTAGAGATGCATTAGTGAAATATACTATAATTTTTTTTTTTTTAAGCTGGCCATCTGTCACCCTGCCTTGATGGGAGATGGCTGGTATGTTACAAAACAGAAAATACTATTATTTAGGCAGCAAGGACTTATCTATATAATCTACACTTTTTATTCAAGTATTCAGGATATTTTCTATAAACCACACTCAAGAGTTTTTATTACCTGCATACACTTTCCTGTAGGATTTCAGAATACAAATAAATCACACTGTTCAACTTTTATGGGTTGTAAGCTACAGCTACATAAAGTACTTTCTATGTCCATAACATGCATCCCCTCAAGATCATCATAAATTTTGTCTGTATACCATGTTATGTATGCAAAGCCTAAGTAAGACTAACATGTTTTAAATACATTTTGGCAAAATAGTTAATTTAATTTCTAAGCAGGCATATCTTAAATCTTTCATAAAAAGTAAGTGACTTACTTCACTGAGTCTCCCACCAAGGTATAATGACCCCCAAGAATAGAAGCATTCACCATCTTACATTCAACTGCTGCTGTCTTGCCAGAACGGTGTTAACTTCACAATTCAGAGAAAGCTGCAACATCCCCCATCCCTCCATGCAGGCAGTGTACTTCTAACAACCAGGATTATAGTCCATCTAAACTGTTTCCCTGAATCCATTCCTAAATGTTACCTTGCCCACATTCCAACATACCAGGCATCATTATGTATGCGGTATATATTTTTCCTATTAAACATGGGAGCAAGTCAGTGATCTATTATGCATGTATATATATTAATGTTACAGTAAAATCCTCAAATATTTATTCTAACCTATATACAAATGCTAACTGCCTAGTTTCCCAAAATTCCCTCAGATACTACTGTATACATTACTTACATTCAGTCACTTCCTTTTAGGCAAAGAATCCTGAGTGGTCTATCAAATTGCTATTCAAATCTCAAAACTGTCTTGCAGAATTCTTCAAGTGTTACTACCAATCTCCAAACATTGCTTCCTCTAACACATGACCCAAATGGGCCTACATATCTCGCCGGAATCCCACCCTCACATGCAGTCACACCAAAAGTGACATTCATCCAATATAATGCCATAACGGTTATCTATGCCACACTTGACAGAAAATTAAAACAAATCAGGGGATAACTTTTAGAGAACTCAAAGCCTCACTTGCTTATGTGGTAATGCAATATTTCCTAATTTTACCCAATAAATGCACAACCTTATTTTCTTAAACAAGATTTGTTAATCACGAATTATGCCTAAATCCAACTTCACTATCAAAATACTAAAACTAGATACCATGAACTTGCAATGGACTTTATTCAGTTATTCAAAGGAACCATTAGTTTTCATTTTGTGCTATGATAACTAACCACAGCGGGTAAGTCAGCAGTACGTGAGTGGCAGGTAGTAACGGTGGCATGATGCCACTTCAACAGCTCTGCCATAGGCGTGCCAACTATTTTACTGCGGCCCAATACAACTGCAGTTGCTCCTTGTATTTTGGCTCCAGACCTGGGTGTCAAAACATTTATATTTACAAAAATATCCAAAATAATTATTGTTATATAGGCTAATTCATCTCTAAATATGTACAGTAGTTAAAACAGGCCTTTGGAAAAAAATTTAAATTCTTACCTACGAATGAGTTCCATGCATCCATTTGGAGTACAAGGCAAAAAGCCACCTTTAAGCATGCCATGTGAGAGACGTCCTGCACTTGCTGTAGTCAGCCTAGGGGGCAAGATTTATTTAAAATTTATAATTTTAACAATACCAAGTAGATGAGTAAGATGCATGCAACAGTTGGATACTTTTATTGTTGAATAAATAAAGATAGCCAACTGTTGCAATTTAAAAAAAAAAAAAAAAAATTACATGCTTAATCACTATCCTTTAAGCAAAATGTAAGAAATAGTAACATGTACACTATTTTAAGGTCTGCAAATAGTAATTTAATGAGTATTTAAACAATGAACCTACAATGTTACATTTGTGCCATACTGTTAGATAAACTAGGATAGATCTCTTGCTTTAATATAACTACAATGGCCTCATTTCTTATGACAATGTGGTTTGCAATTTTGTGAGACAACAAGATTGTGCGTCTAATCAATAGATCTTAAGCCCTATTGCCAGCAGATTTTGATAAAACCAGAAAGTTCAACAGCTACTGAATGTTCAAATTTGCTAATTAATCACACATCAGCTTGAGGTTGAGTTTCATTGTGGACCTTTATCAGTGTTGTTGTGGGTTTCAGAGAGCAGAAGTGAAAAATATTAATCCTCAGAACTGCAGAAAAATCACATGATACAAAGGCACACTGCCAACAGTAATGAAGAAAAAACACATGTGGAGCATTTACTGTGAAAACATTTTGCTCTATACAGAGCATTATGAGGCCAATACCTTGACAACTCTCTCATCACTCAATGTGATCTTGCCCAGCACCTGTCTTTTCCTCACAGAAAAGCAACAAGCTTGATATGCAGCCAATTATTACAAAACTCTTTTCATTGTTATTTGCAAGCTCTTATTGCACCAAAATTTCAAAATATATATACTGTACATTAAAACAGTTTAGAGTAAACAATTTTCATTGAAATATACTGTTTTGCACTAAAGATTTATACGTTTTGGAACAAGCTGTTAATCAGAAATATGAAGATACTCAGGCCAGTAATATTTTACCCCTTCCCATTCAATATCCTTCTATGCACTGCAACTTAAAATTATAAACTAGAGCCAGGCTGTGGGAACAGGGAAACCCTCAAAACCCTTCAAAGGTATATCAAAAACATGCCCCACTAATAAGATACACCATGATCTCCTTTCTAAAAAATTACATGAAAATCAAGCAAATTATGACAACCTTAAATCTAATGCTGATATGGTGTTAGTCAAAATTATCACATTTTTCATAAAATGTTTTCCTTACCCATCAACATCTTTATCTGAGGAGACTGTATCCAGCACTAAATCAGAATCTATATTCGTATCAGAGTCCAATGGCATTTGAACAATAATTCCATGGATGGTGTGATCACTGTTAAGCTTCTTCACTTCTTGAACAAGCTGAATAAAGAAAAATAATCCTTAGATTTAAAAATATTCTGCAGACTAAATATGGTAATACAGGCTTCATCTGAGAGAATAACTGGATTAGTTAAGACTATCACCAAATTTGCTACTAGATTTTTTTTTTTTTTTTTTTTTTTTTAACACGCTGGCCGTTTCCCACTGAAGCAAGGTGACCCAAAAAAAGAAAAAAAAAAAAAAAACATTTCATCATTCAACACTCACCATCATTCATACACAATCAATGTCTTTGCAGAGGCGAAAAGATACGACAGTTTAGACGTCACTCCAAGCAGCCAATATCCCAAACCCCTTCTTTAAAATGCAGGTATTGTACTTCCCACCTCCAGGATTCAAGTCCAGCTAACCAGTTTCCCTGAATCTCTTCACAAAATATTACCCTGTTCACACTCCAACAGCTAGAAATAGATCACTAAATTTGTGAGCTTAAAAAAATTGTTTAGTTAATCATAAAAATACATAAAATAAACTGATTACTGGAGGCAGTGGAAATGTCATTAAGGGCAATGTGTGGTGTAAATATTTTGCAGAGAATTTGGAATGTGGAAATTAGGAAGTGGTGTGGAGTTACTAAAAGTATTAGTCAGAGGGCTAAAGTGGGGTTGTTGAGGTGGTTTGGTCATTTAGAAAGAATGGAACGAAGTAGAATGACTTGGAGAGCATATAAATCTGTAGGGAAAGGAAGGTGGGGTACGGGTCGTCCTCGAAAATGTTGGAGGGAGAGGATAAAGGAGGTTTTGTGGGCAAGGGGCTTGGACTTCCAGCAAGCATGCGTAAGCATGTTAGATAGGAGTGAATGGAGACACATGGCATTTGGGACCTCACAAGCTGTTGGAATGTGAGCAGGATAATATTTTGTGAAGGGATTCAGGAAAACTGGTTAGCTGGACTCGAGTCCTGGAAATGGGAAGTACAATGCCCTCTGCAAAGACAGTAATTATATACGAGTGATGGTGAAAGTGTTGAATAATAATGAAAGTATTTTTTTCTTTCTTTTTGGGTCACCCTGCCTCTGTGGGACATGGCCAATGTGTTAAAAAAATAAACACATAGTAGACTGCAGATTAAGATACGATCTTCCAGGACATTTTTGATATGCAATGCTTGCAAAATTGCAGCATATTTTTTGATCATGACTCCATGAGGTTCATTTGTGAAGTTCATACATAACAGTGCAACTTTCGAGAAAAATATTGAGTGATGTGGGACTGCACTACAGCAGCATTCCCTCCTTCCTTACCACTTCTTTAGAGGTCAATCCAGTCAGTATGGATGACAGTGTAATTATTTATCAACTGATTTCAGTATCATTTTATTTTTGATGTCACATTTTACATGAACATCAAGAACCTTGCATTCAAGGTTCTCTTCACTCTTCATAATTCTCATACTCATCCAGAAACTTTGTTGGATGTGAATATATATATAAAACCGATTTTTACCACTAAATACAACATCTTTAATACAATCACTGGATTGTGGAATTATTAGGTCGGTCAAGCGTAACTATACATGAAGTGATGCGGAAACTTGTTGCAGTAATGGATGCTGACTCAGAGCTTGCAGTACCACCTTCTGGCACAAATTTAACATTGCAGATGCCATCAGCTATGTCAAAACTGCATGGAACGAAGTGCCATAATCAACATTAAATGCAGACTGGGGAAAGATGTGGCTTAGTGTGACAAATACTTTCACAGGTTTTTTCCCTCACTTGAGAGCCAGGTGTAGAAACTGTTCAGGTGGCAAGGATATTGACAGGTGAGGAGTTTGAAGATACGTAGGATGCGAGTGAGCTCACAACCTTCCACCTCAGCTAATAACTCTCAACCTTCCACCTCAGCTAGCAACCCATAACCTTCCACCTCAGAAAACAACCCACAACCTTCCACCTCAGCAAATAACCCACAACCTTCCACCTCAGCAAACAACCCACAACCTTCCACCTCAGCAAACCACCCACAACCTTCCACCTCGGATAACAACCCACAACCTTCCACCTCGGATAACAACCCAAAATCTTCCACCTCAGCAAACCCACAACCTTCCACCTCAGCAAACAACCCACAACTTTCCACCTCAGCAAACAACCAACATTTCACCTCGGCTAACAACCCACAACATTTTACCTCGGCTAACAACCCACAACCTTCCACCTCGGCTAACAACCAACAACATTACACCTCAGCTAACACCCCACAACCTTCCATCTTAGCTAACAACCCACAATGTTCCACTTAGGCTAACGATCACAATCGTTTGCCATTTTTGGGTGTCCTATAAATTTAACTTTTTCCACAATTTTTTTTTAGACATTATTTTCAGGAACGTAATTATCGTCTTAATCAAATGTCAACTGTATACATGTATATAATAAATCAAAATAACAATTACAGTAAAGCCTCCTGTAACTTGGGGAACGTGTTCCTGAAAAATCAGTACCTTTTTAAAAATAATAGCTTCAGATGAAGTGGAAAAACATGTGGAAAAAAATAGGGTTATGTTACAGGCACCACCAAATATCCTAACCAAAATTATGCTTAGAATTAGCTGTAATGCCCATAACCAATACCATTATTCAAAACTCTGGATTATTCATAATCTAAGAAGTCTAAGGAAAGATTATTTCCCCAGGACCTCATACTACAACTATTCTGCTGGTTACTCACATGCGATTTAACAACTTCATATTTTCACCTCAGGACTCCTCTCTCCAACCCTTGTATATACCCTTGTTTTGTTAGTCTCTGTACGAATTGATGAAGCTCCATATGGACAAAGTGTCTCCATATATAAAATGCCACAACCAGCACACAGTACTTACATACTGTCAATACATTCTACCACTGTATTACCTAAAAATGCTGTGTGCATGGAAGATACTCGAGGGGCCTTGTCCCAAATCTGCTCACTCTCATAATATATTTGAGTGTGAGATATGGCAGCATAAGATAGACCCAGTGAACAGAAGGGGGCACCATGGGCACAATAAAAGAAGTGTCAACATCTATGGGCCTCTTCTATTTAATCTGCTACCAGCAGTTGTTGGCTGTAATGAATACATGGAACAGCAGGCCGCTAACAGCAGCAGCCTGACAAACCAGCCAATTACCAGGGAGGCCTGGTCCCTAGCCAAGCTGCAAGAGTAGGAAAACTCAAATCCAAACACAGGAAAATCATAGGCCCTACTGGGATGAAGTGGATGGCTGTGGTTCTTGTGTTGATGTGCATACAGAACTTCCAGCATATGAATGCACATCTCAATATATCTCTGGTCTGATGAATGCATCTCTGGTCTGTTTTATCTTGCAGTACTTTATACTGATAAGGATGCCAATGGGCGCCCCAAAATCCATTTCAGATCAATACCCTTATTATGCACAGACTGTTTTCTTCTTGTGGCCCAGTGGCTAAAGCTCCCGCTTCACACACGGAGGGCCTGCGTTCGATTCCCAGCGGGTGGAAACATTTCGACACGTTTCCTTACACCTGTTGTCCTGTTCGCCTAGCAGCAAATAGGTACCTGGGTGTTAGTCGACTGGTGTGGGTCGCATCCTGGGGGACAAGATTAAGGACCCCAATGAAAATAAGTTAGACAGTCCTCGATGACGCACTGACTTTCTTGGGTTATCCTGGGTGGCTAACCCTCCGGGGTTAAAAATCCAAACGAAATCTTATCTCTTATCTTATCTCATTGTGGGATTTCTGGCAAAAAGGGCAACAGTCTGCATATCTAAAATTTCCACTGTCTTCAATATTGTTAGAGCTTGATGCTTATTCTTGGTACTGCCAACATCACCAGTATTATTCTTTGGTGCTGTAGTTAATATGAAGAGCCTGACAGGGTGGCAAAAATATCCAAAATTGTCTGATAAACATTAAGTAAAGCAAGTGGCATTCTCAGAAGACAACTGCAGGTGATGCAGGCGAGGTAAAGAGCACGGTTTCTTAGTCTACCAAAGATTTTGCATGTAACTTTCTACACTGACAGTACGTGTTATCAAAGCTTCAAGTACTATGAAAAAATCATACATTATTTTCAATAGCATTTACAAATACTTTATAGTCACTGTAAAGAAGGGTTTGCTTATACATTAAATTCTGAAGCTGTATTCTACCATAAAATGATATTTTGCTGCTTCAGTAAATCTTACAACAGAACATAATCCACATTACAAAATGCATGCATGCTAAACATTCATGTCAATAATAAGAGGAAGCACAATTATTATTTAATGGCAGAATTACTGCATACAACTAATAATTATTACATTCAAGGGGAAGTACTAAACCTTTTGGGGTCATAAGGTACCTGGGGTGAGAGACAATCAGGCTCTATTCAACAAAGAGGAAGGGTAGCTCTAATTCCTACAATAAAGGGTCCTTCACCCCCTGTAAAGGGTGTAGGGAACAAAAATCATGGCATCTTAAATGGCAGTTTTCTAGTGGCACAGCCAGTTAAATTTCAGTACGATCTTACCTGTGACTGCGTTATAGCTCGGGGAAATTTTATGTGCTGCGCTTTAATTCCTATTTCTTCAGCAGCCTTGACTTTCATCCGAATGTAGACATTGCTATCTTCCCGGCCACCAACCTGCAACAATGTAGTGAACTGCATAACTATGGGCTTTTCTATATAAAGAAACAAAATAAAACTATGTAGTCATGGAAAATAAACTTTACTTGGCATTTTAGTGATTTATGTTTTATATTAAACTTTAGTACATATAGCATTAATTTTTAAAACAGAACTCATGACTAAAGATATGACAAAAATAAATGAATCCTAACAAACATATACCATCATAATTGGCTTTGCTGAAGTTAAATTATAGTCACCATTGTTTGCCTCATTAAATGAAAGAAAAATATAAAACACATTTAGTTTTTAAACATCTAGATGCACTGTGATTAGCAATTTTTTTTCCATATCCCACTGAGGCAGGGTGGCCCAAAACGAAAAACAAGAGTTTCTCTTTTTAACTTTAGTACAGCCTCTCCTCACTTAGCGACGTACTCGTTTACTGACACCTCGGACTTACGACGGGATCTTTGACCAGTGTGCATACCTAAATAATGTATATTAGAGCTGACTTCCTCTACTCTGTTTATTACAATATACAGTTCACTAATGTATAAACATTCAAAAATATACCAGAAATGTTATAAATGGTGCAAAAGTGACAAAAACAATATCAAAGATGGTTGACACAAACCCGCTACCATTATAGTATGCTCCTCACTTAGCGACAAATTAATTTAATGACGTGGTCTTAGGAACGGAACTCTGTCATTAAGCAAGGAGAGGCTGTAATGTATAGAGGAAAAGGGGTTACTAGCCCCTTGCTCCTGGCATGTTAGTCGTCTCTTACAACAAGCATGGCTTACGGAGGAAGAATTCTGTCCCACTTCCCCATGGAGAGATTTATAAATATACTTCTTAAAATATACAAACCTGCACAATTGCCAAGCCAGGAGCAAAATTCTTAAATTCTCTCTTGAGATCCTCAACATCCTGTTTCAGTTTATTGTGGACATCTCTGTGGAAGGTAAGCAGTTCAACTGATACAAACATCTGGCATACAAGTGAAGTATATACACTTAAAAGAACACTATTCCTAGAAAAAGTCATAAAAATTTGTACTTTTGTGTACATATATACATTATCTACAGTATATCACAAGACTCTCCAGAAACAGTAAGGTTGCTGAGGATTCTTCGTCAGTGGCACTTGAAAATAATTCGAAAAATGTAAGGATTATTTTCCCACATTACTACACAGTCCTGAGCAGCCTTTAAAATCTGACTTTGCTATTTTTGGACCATGCCCTGCAGCCCAGTCCATGACCAGCTTAAATACAATTTAATTGTACAGTAGTTTTATATACTGTACTGTAATACCCTCTGTATAGAGAAATTTTGAATTCTTGTAACATTAACCAAGTCTACTTACTGGGCCACTTTTTTCCCAGACAAGACAGTAGCTTGAGTATCTTCAGCCATCCTGAAAGAACAATCAGGAAATTGAAATGTTAAGTGTTTATTCTGAATCAGCATAGAAAATAGTGCACTTGGTGTGATATTAATGAATTTTGAAAATACGGCCAAAACTGGTGAAAAATGCTGAACTATGTACATGTATGTAGTTCAGAGACTTTTTGGGGTGAAAAAGCTTTTTCTCTCAAAATGGAAAAACAGTCATGAACATACTCTTTGTTGGATCAATTGCTCCACACAAACATGAAAAAATCTGGTATATACATCTGTCGTGGAAGTTACGAGAGTTTTCATAAGATAAATGAGCCGTAAAAGGCACCTCAGAAAGAGAAGAATCAGAGAAAACAGCCTTGTCTCATGCCAAAATGTTCTCATTCTATGTTTTTAAGTATATATTCTGAAGTAGCATCAAAAGTAGTTCATATGGAGTGATTTTTTTTGGGGTAATGTCCAGCTATTTTTCATAACTTATGGTTATTTTTAGTTATTTCTCATAATTATTGGTCAATTTCAATTATTTTTGATAACTTTTTTTTTTAATTTTTAGGTATTTTTCATGATTTTATTTTCCATAATGAATAGTCTTAATAAATATATTAGTTTCCTGCATTAGGAATTACCTGGAAATTAATTTATACGGAGCAACTAATATACACCATCAGCCAAATAGTTACTGTCAGCTACACTGTTAAGAAATGATGTCAATGATGAGTTAAACATCAGCTGTAGAGTTAAACACCGTCAGCCGCACAGCCGGCAGGCACCGTCAGCCGCACAGCCGGCAGGCACCATCAGCCGCACAGCCGGCAGGCACCGTCAGCCGCACAGCCGGCAGGCACCGTCAGCCACAGCCGCAGGCACCGTCAGCCGCACAGCCGGCAGGCACCATCAGCCCCACAGCTGCAGGCACCATCAGCCGCACAGCCGGCAGGCACCATCAGCCGCACAGCCGGCAGGTACCAGCAGCCGCACAGCCGGCAGGCACCGTCAGCCGCACAGCCGGCAGGCACTGGCAGCCGCACAGCCGGCAGGCACCGTCAGCCGCACAGCCGGCAGGCACCGTCAGCTGCACAGCCGGCAGGCACCGTCACCGCACAGCTGACAGGCACCATCAGTCACACAGCTGACAGGCACAGTCACGCACAGCTGACAGGCACCATCAGTCACACAGCTGACAGGCACAGTCGCGCACAGCTGACAGGCACAGTCAGCCGCACAGCTGACAGGCACAGTCACGCACAGCTGACAGGCACAGTCAGCCGCACAGCTGACAGGCACAGTCACGCACAGCTGACAGGCACCATCAAGTAAAGTAAGTTATTAAGGTACAATTTGTGTGATTATAAATGTGTTACATAACAACGTGTAAATTAACTAGGTGACTGGCACAGTTAATAAACATTATCAGCCAGTAACAGACACCATCAGTGTTAACACTGTCAGCCAGCTAACAGACGTCGTCACTCACAGTTAATGTCAGCTAGTACCCGATGCCGTCAGCCACTTAACAGAGGCCGTCAGTTACAGATTTAAATACTGTCAGCCAGTTAACGTCGTCAGCCTGCTTACAGGCGTCGTCAGTCTGTCAAGACACCGTCAGCCTGTTAACACACCAGTCAGCCACAAAACAGTTAACAACGTCAGCTAGTCCCATGACAAGAGTTAACACTAACTACCTTTACCTTAACACCAGAACTTTATCTCAGAGATGCAGACTGTCTGTGAGAGCAGTTACTAAGGGCTGCTGGGCTGACGGCTGCTGGGCTGACGGCTGCTGCTGACGGCTGCTGTTGTTCCCACAACTGGTCACCAGGTACTCCACATATATACATTAATCTGACTATTTCCGCAGAGTTAATCTTATTGATTAAAACACTTCAATATACCAATTTCAATTTGAGTTTCTAGGCCTATATGTGATATATAAGATGATGTATATGTGTCTATTACAAATATAATAATATTTAAATGTCGTCTACAAACTTATTGATAGTTGCCATTTGTGGCATTATTGTAACTAAAATATATGGAGCTGTTTTCGTCAGCTACATTTGTGTAAGAAAAAAAGCAATAGAAATTTTACAAGCTGAAATAAATTGTATATGAGAGAATGGTTGAAGTTAGATGAAGTATAATGAAGTTGGTAGATGTGGCAGACTGGTTCATGACCTTGAACAAGGTCTAGATTTTTTTGCACTGTTCTCTACATTATCTCCCTTCAACACTATCATGTCATCTCAACATTTCAGAATTATTAACTCTATCATAACCCAAAATTGGCTTTCTGGTTACTGTATATTCAGTGATTTAAAATACTGAATGTTAGTGGACCTCAGAATGTGGGTAGCCTTCTGTCACATACCCAACATACCCAGCGTTGGATTTTCAACGCATTAAGTCGTAAAACTTAACCATATGTTAAATTTAGCTAAGATGGGGAATGATTATTATGTTAAATTTAGCTAAGATGGGGAATGATTATTATGTTAAATTTAGCTAAGATGGGGAAGGATTATTATGTTTCCTGGTGAGCACTAATCCCTTTGGGAAGATGAAATTCTTTTAGATATGATTACATATATTTTATCCGGACAAACATTATATACATTGTGAACACTCTCATCTATTTTGAATAACTGATTTCCTTCAGTTATTCAAAATACCCAGAACGTACTACATGCAAGTGGCTGCTCTTCCAGCAACGGTGTATATCATTCATAAACCTTGGACCAGGAGCTTTGAATCAACCCTTGTAACCACATATAGGAAATATTTTGGCGTACTTTATATAACCAGAGCCGGACTAAGATTTTGTAGGCCCCTGGGCTACAGGTACTGTGAGGCTCCTGGGCTACAGGTACTGTGAGGCTCCTGGGCTACAGGTACTGTGAGGCTCCTGGGCTACAGGTACTGTGAGGCTCCTGGGCTACAGGTACTGTGAGGCTCCTGGGCTACAGGTACTGTGAGGCCCCTGGGCTACAGGTACTGTGAGGCTCCTGGGCTACAGGTACTGTGAGGCTCCTGGGCTACAGGTACTGTGAGGCTCCTGGGCTACAGGTACTGTGAGGCTCCTGGGCTACAGGTACTGTGAGGCTCCTGGGCTACAGGTACTGTGAGGCTCCTGGGCTACAGGTACTGTGAGGCTCCTGGGCTACAGGTACTGTGAGGCTCCTGGGCTACAGGTACTGTGAGGCTCCTGGGCTACAGGTACTGTGAGGCTCCTGGGCTACAGTTAATGTGAGGCTCCTGGGCTACAGGTACTGTGAGGCTCCTGGGCTACAGGTACTGTGAGGCTCCTGGGCTACAGGTACTGTGAGGCTCCTGGGCTACAGGTACTGTGAGGCTCCTGGGCTACAGGTACTGTGAGGCTCCTGGACTACAAGTACTGTGAGGCTCCTGTGCTACAGATACTGTGAGGCTCCTGGGCTACAGGTACTGTGAGGCTCCTGGGGTACAGGTACTGTGAGGCTCCTGGGGTACAGATACTGTGAGGCTCCAGGGCTACAGATACTGTGCGGCTCCTGGGCTACAGGTACTGTGAGGCTCCTGGGCTACAGGTACTGTGAGGCTCCTGGGCTACAGGTACTGTGAGGCTCCTGGGCTACAGGTACTGTGAGGCTCCTGGGCTACAGGTACTGTGAGGCTCCTGGGCTACAGGTACTGTGAGGCTCCTGGGCTACAGGTACTGTGAGGCTCCTGGGCTACAGGTACTGTGAGGCTCCTGGGCTACAGGTACTGTGAGGCTCCTGGGCTACAGGTACTGTGAGGCTCCTGGACTACAAGTACTGTGAGGCTCCTGTGCTACAGATACTGTGAGGCTCCTGGGCTACAGGTACTGTGAGGCTCCTGGGGTACAGGTACTGTGAGGCTCCTGGGGTACAGATACTGTGAGGCTCCAGGGCTACAGATACTGTGCGGCTCCTGGGCTACAGGTACTGTGAGGCTCCTGGGCTACAGGTACTGTGAGGCTCCTGGGCTACAGGTACTGTGAGGCTCCTGGGCTACAGATACTGTGAGGCTCCTGGGCTACAGATACGGAGGCTCGGGCTACAGATACTGTGAGGCTCCTGGGAGCTTACAGGTACTGTGAGGCTCCTGGGCTACAGATACTGTGCGGCTCCTGGGCTACAGGTACTGTGAGGCTCCTGGGCTACAGGTACTGTGAGGCTCCTGGGCTACAGATACTGTGAGGCTCCTGGGCTACAGATACTGTGCGGCTCCTGGGCTACAGATACTGTGAGGCTCCTGGGCTACAGGTACTGTGAGGCTCCTGGGCTACAGGTACTGTGAGGCTCCTGTGGCTCCTAGGTACTGTCTGTAGGCTCCTGGGCTACAGGTACTGTGAGGCTCGTGGGCTACAGATACTGTGAGGCTCCTGGGCTACAGATGCTGTGAGGCTCCTGGGCTACAGGTACTGTGAGGCTCCTGGGCTACAGATACTGTGCGGCTCCTGGGCTACAGGTACTGTGAGGCTCCTGGGCTACAGGTACTGTGAGGCTCCTGGGCTACAGGTACTGTGAGGCTCCTGGGCTACAGGTACTGTGGGCTCCTGGGCTACAGTACTGTGGGCTCCTGGGCTACAGGTACTGTGAGGCTCCTGGGCTACAGGTACTGTGAGGCTCCTGGGCTACAGATACTGTGAGGCTCCTGGGCTACAGGATACTGTGAGGCTCCTGGGCTACAGGTACTGTGAGGCTCCTGGGCTACAGGATACTGTGAGGCTCCTGGGCTACAGTTACTGTGAGGCTCCTGGGCTACAGGTACTGTGAGGCCTCCTGGGCTACAGGTACTGTGAGGCCTCCTGGGCTACAGGTACTGTGAGGCCTCCTGGGCTACAGGTACTGTGAGGCCTCCTGGGCTACAGGTACTGTGAGGCCTCCTGGGCTACAGGTACTGTGAGGCCTCCTGGGCTACAGGTACTGTGAGGCTCCTGGGCTACAGGTACTGTGAGGCTCCTGGGCTACAGGTACTGTGAGGCTCCTGGACTACAGTACTGTGAAGCTCCTGGGCTACAGGTACTGTGAGGCCCCTGGGCTACAGGTACTGTGAGACTCCTGGACTACAAGTACTGTGAGGCTCCTGGACTACAAGTACTGTGAGGCTCCTGTGCTACAGATACTGTGAGGCTCCTGGGCTACAGGTACTGTGAGGCTCCTGGGCTACAGGTACTCTGAGGCTCCTGGGCTACAGGTACTGTGAGGCTACTGGGCTACAGGTACTGTGAGGCTCCTGGGCTACAGGTACTGTGAGGCTCCTGGGCTACAGATACTGTGCGGCTCCTGGGCTACAGGTACTGTGAGGCTCCTGGGCTACAGATACTGTGAGGCTCCTGGGCTACAGGTACTGTGAGGCTCCTGGGCTACAGATACTCTGAGGCTCCTGGGCTACAGGTACTGTGAGGCTCCTGGGCTACAGGTACTGTGAGGCTCCTGGGCTACAGGTACTGTGAGGCTCCTGGGCTACAGATACTGTGAGGCTCCTGGGCTACAGGTACTGTGAGGCTCCTGGGCTACAGGTACTGTGAGGCTCCTGGGCTACAGGTACTGTGAGGCTCCTGGGCTACAGGTACTGTGAGGCTCCTGGGCTACAGGTACTGTGAGGCTCCTGGGCTACAGGTACTGTGAGGCTCCTGGGCTACAGATACTGTGAGGCTCCTGGGCTACAGATACTGTGAGGCTCCTGGGCTACAGGTATTGTGAGGCTCCTGGGCTACAGATACTGTGCGGCTCCTGGGCTACAGGTACTGTCAGGCTCCTGGGCTACAGGTACTGTGAGGCTCCTGGGCTACAGGTACTGTGAGGCTCCTGGGCTACAGATACTGTGCGGCTCCTGGGCTACAGGTACTGTGAGGCTCCTGGGCTACAGGTACTGTGAGGCTCCTGGGCTACAGGTACTGTGAGGCTCCTGGGCTACAGATACTGTGCGGCTCCTGGGCTACAGGTACTGTGAGGCTCCTGGGCTACAGGATACTTGAGGCTCCTGGGCTACAGGTACTGTGAGGCTCCTGGGCTACAGATACTGTGAGGCTCCTGGGCTACAGGTACTGTGAGGCTCCTGGGCTACAGATACTGTGAGGCTCCTGGGCTACAGGTACTGTGAGGCTCCTGGGCTACAGGTACTGTGAGGCTCCTGGGCTACAGATACTGTGAGGCCCCTGGGCTACAGGTACTGTGAGGCTCCTGGGCTACAGGTACTGTGAGGCCCCTGGGCTACAGGTACTGTGAGGCTCCTGGGCTACAGGTACTGTGCGGCTCCTGGGCTACAGGTACTGTGAAGCTCCTGGGCTACAGGTACTGTGAGGCCCCTGGGCTACAGGTACTGTGAGACTCCTGGACTACAAGTACTGTGAGGCTCCTGGACTACAAGTACTGTGAGGCTCCTGTGCTACAGATACTGTGAGGCTCCTGGGCTACAGGTACTGTGAGGCTCCTGGGCTACAGTACTCTGAGGCTCCTGGGCTACAGGTACTGTGAGGCTCCTGGGCTACAGGTACTGTGAGGCTCCTGGGCTACAGGTACTGTGAGGCTCCTGGGCTACAGATACTGTGCGGCTCCTGGGCTACAGGTACTGTGAGGCTCCTGGGCTACAGGTACTGTGAGGCTCCTGGGCTACAGGTACTGTGAGGCTCCTGGGCTACAGATACTCTGCGGCTCCTGGGCTACAGGTACTGTGAGGCTCCTGGGCTACAGGTACTCTGAGGCTCCTGGGCTACAGATACTGTGAGGCTCCTGGGCTACAGATACTGTGAGGCTCCTGGGCTACAGGTACTGTGAGGCTCCTGGGCTACAGATACTGTGAGGCTCCTGGGCTACAGGTACTGTGAGGCTCCTGGGCTAC